TGTAGGTTTAAGGGACCCTATCTAACGTTAAACGCTCACCTCCACCGTACAAGCTCCTCTCTCTACCAAATTTGAAACGAACCTACTAGGGCTGCCTTTGAAGTACGTTCTAAGAATGTATTAATGTGAGTTCTGGACAGGCCCAAGTCTTTTAGTAGGTTATAGAGAGATTTATCTGTTATACCTCTCGCTCCCACCTCTACCGCGTACAAATCAACGACGAACCTATTTCGAGTGAGTTCGTTTGTGAGCTCGTAATATTTGTTGACCTTGATGGTATGGTCTTTGGGGATGTTGGTTTCCCAAGGCACCGTAAGCTCTATCATCACTACGCGCTTTAAAATACGCGAATATAGAAATATGTCTGGTCTGGAGGCCGACGCACAAATATCCTATGGGATTTTATATTGTTTTTCAATTTTCATACGTGTACATCATTATAGTCCAATCCGTAGCCGCTTTAAGAAGGCTTGACTGCATGATAATAATAATAAAACATTAACGTAAACTAAATATTATCTCAAACAACAGGCAACGCCGATGGAAATAAGTAGTGTAAAATATTTATATTATATGAAACAAACAAACATACATACGTCAAACAATAAATATATTATTGTTATTAATAAAAAGATTCTCAGATAAAACATTTACTGAATGATTGGTGCATGATTAATATATATAAAAGAAAGTCGTGTTAGTTACACTATATAGAACTCTAACGACTGTACGGATATATATGAAGATTGGTGGAGACATAGATTAGAACATAGAAAGGACATAGGATACTTTACATAGGACGTAAGATATTTAATTCTGTACGATGAAAAAAACAAAAAATAACTTAATAAACTCCAATATCTGGTTATTTACGGCCTCTAGGTCGGAATAGAGTTCGCCCAGTCAGATATACATATATTACTAACTAGTTTTTGCCCGCGACTTCGTCCGCGTTAGTTTGGTCAAGAGTAATATATATATGTATAGCTGACCAGGAGAACTCTATTCCGTTTTAGAGGCCATTAATAATCAGGTTTTTCTTGTTTCAATCGAACAGAATGATTGACATATTAGTAAGTTGTCAAATCTAATGTCAAAAAAAACGTTTGTATGGCAAATAGAAAAGGGCTGTTTTTAGGGTTTTCCCGGCAATTATTCCAATTTTTCTCACCTTTTAAACCTTCCCTGGACTTCCAGGAGTATTTCAAGACTTAAATTAGCCAAATCCGTTCAGCTGTTCTCGAGTTTTAGCGAGACTAAGGAACAGCAATCCATTTTTATATATATAGAAGATAGAAGAAGAAGATGAAGAGATTAACGCGAAGTCGCGGACAAAAACTATGTAGTATATAAAATATTCCGCTCTTCATTTGTAACGAATATACATACATACAAAATAAACCTACCCCTGGGTCGCAAGAACCAATCACCGTTGAAGTTCCTCTCACTAAAACGATGGACCCGACACACGCACCGTGAATACATGGAATGATGAGAGGTTACATCTTGTTTCATCTTCTTCTACCTGGCAATTTCCCAGCTATAGCCAGGGTCTGCCTTACATGTTGTGAATAGTTTTGGCTAATTGTTTTTACGACCGGCCGCCTGCCTGACATCAACCCTCTTTGGGAATGCATTAATCAGTGATGTCTAAATACTCTTAAGTACATATGACTCAGAACAATCACATTGGTACTTGCCAGGATCGAATCCGCTTCTTCGTGCATGAGAGGCGGCAGCTCTCACATTAATTATATAACAAAATTACATGTTATAAATATTTCTTTTAATTTTAAATCACAGTATACAAAACGACTAAGCTGATTACGATGTAACTTTATACTTTGTATATATATATTGAGGAATATTGTTGTACAAACATCTTTGAGAGTTGACTACACATGTGCAACACATGTGTGGAACAAAAAACTGACTACCAGAAACATTAATGGCTTTTGAAATGCATTTTTACTTTGAAAAACATACATACATATATAAATTCATTCAAAATGTAATGTAACTTAATAAAACTTATTTATAAAAAAATATTTAAAAATACCATATTATTATCAAAACGAGTTCAACATTTTTTAGATATATTTATAAATTACGGAAAATTAAAATAAACAAATAAAAAAAATATTGAAATCTACTTTCAATTATTTTAATGTCATGGACGAGAGTCAATTAATAATATATATAAAATATTTAATATATTATATACTAGTTTTTGTCCGCGACTACGTCCGCGTTAATTTCTTCATTAGTAATATATGTATAGCTGTCCGGGCGAACTATATTCCGTCCTAGAAGATATAAATAACCAGATATTGGAGTTTATTCACTTATTTTTCTTTTTCGATCGAACAGTATTAAATATCCTATGTCCTTTCTATGTTCTAATCTATCTCTCCACCAATCTTCATCCATACCCGTACAGTCGTTAGAGTTATACATATATTGTGTAACTAACACGACTTTCCTTTATATGTAAAGGTAGATAAAATGTTCATTAATGTAGCGTTGAGGAACTACATCGATTTTAGTGATGTTCAAAATATATGTTGCCATCCACAAAGACAACACGAGTCATACATAATATATTAAAACTGTTTTCAAGCTATTGTTAAAACATTGAATGAAACAAACATATATAGCAATAAAAACCCTACTAATATTATAAATGCGAAAGTAACTCTGTCTGTCTGTCTGTTAAGCTTTCACGCCTAAACCACTGAACTGATTTTAATGAAATTTGGTAGAGAGATAGAGTTGACCTTGAGAAAGAACATAGGATAGTTTTTCACCCAAACTTTTGAAAGGTTCTCTTGGAAACGCGATATAACCGAACTCCACGCGGGCGAAGCTGCGGGCGGAAAGCTAATAATAAAATATATCTTAATCTAATAATATTATGAATTAAATTTGTACGTATGTATGTATGTTAAATTCTCTTTCAAAAAAACTACTGAGCTGATTTTGATAAAACTTTCCATTTATAAATATATATATATATATATATATATATATATATATATATATATATATATATATATATATATATATATACATCATAATAATTAATAACATATGTCATATAGTATACAACGCCTCTCTCACATAATGAATGAAGTCACGTTACACTATACAAGTTCAGTATATTAAAAAACATATTAATATATGTATGAAATATATATCAATGGCCACGCAGACGAAGTCGCGTGTAAAAACTAGTATTTTACATATACATATATAATATAATATATAATAATATTATAAAGCTGAAGAGTTTGTTTGAAAGCGCTAATCTCCGAAACTACAGGTTCGAATTGAATAATTCTTTTTGTGTTGGATAAGCCAGTTATCGAGGAAGGCTGTGGGCTATATAACATCACGCTACGACCAATAGGAGCAAAGATATAGTGGTAAATGTGTAAAAAACGGGAGAAATTATATCATCTTTGAAGCCTTCCGTTGCGTGCGCCGTGAAAACGGTTCAAGATACACAAAAAATATGTATTAAAGAATAATAGCTCCTTTAATGATCTAAAAAACAGTCCGCAACAGTATATGTCTAACTTTTAAGATTAACTCACAAAAACCGTTTTTATGGTACCTAATTTGGTCGAAATAATTTGTTTAAGTTGTATCAACATAATAATATTAATCTTTATTCAAATATGCAAAAAAATATGTTGTTGGTTAAGAGTACTTCATTGTGAATAAAAAAAAAAACATCGGTTTTATCCTGGAAATTCTACGGGAACTCGACCATTCCGAAAACCCCGCAAGAACGGGAACTATGTGGGAAGAACCAAAAATCTGCCGGAAGTCACTATTCCACACGGACGGAGTCGCGGTGAAAGCTAGTATATAATAATGAGCGTCTATCTGACGCAATACTACGTGAGCACATTATCAAAAAGTTAGCTCAATTAAAATAACTTGCCTATTGGGTAATTGAACTTATTCATTATCTGTGGGAACAAGATGGCGGATGATGGCGCGTTTGGAGAGAAAATATAATTTATAATGAGATAGAAAGCTGAAAAATAAGTTTATATGCCACATATTACATACGCGAGACATATTAAAATAAATGAACATCGTCGGGCGACATGGTTGTATGTATAAAATATATAGCGAGTGACGCTGCTGACTCCGCGGAACGAACACCAAGCCGTGTGAACCAGAACATTCCTGATACACACAAGCTATGGAATGGTATTGCTATCCAACATCGAGTCAATCATGTAGTCTTAGGTGTAGGTTATAAGGTTTAATATGTAGTTCTTATTATAATATACGTAAAAGTTACGTAGTTTTCTTGGAAGTATATAATTCACAGAAGATCTGAATGCTTAGTCTAAGTTTGTACACATTACAAACGTAGCGTTAACAGTTTTTCATTCATAAATCTTGTCATTATATTAAGGTAGGTTGTTTTCAATGAGAAACTCGTAAATAGTATTAATGCAAACTCGGACTAAACATCTTGATCACAACATAAAAATGTAGAAAATATTTTAATTACATATCAAAATTGCCACTTCTAAGATAATTAGTGCTTTAGATAGAAAAAAACTTCATTTAATACAAAGTTATTGAGAAAAAACTATTTTTTACAACTGTGTTTTAATTCATATAAAAACTTCGGCATATAACAGAAGCGAAAGGAGACGCGGCAATTAGCTAATATTGAAGTATTAAATTTAAATATGTATATATATAATTCTCATTTATTCTATTAATTAGAGCAATTTATATGCAATTTTGATTGGATGCCATTCTGTATATCAAATTATATTAAAAAAAATTATCTATACAACACAGACAAAGTAAGACTAATATATATGTATATAAGAATATCATTAAATACTTATTCAATAAATATATAGATTTTTATCATATTAAATGAAATAATTAATTTCAAATACAAAATACTCCGGCTAATTAAGTATTGTGGCGATTTTAGTTAATATAGGCATACTTACTTGACATTACGGCATGGTCTGGCTGCCTTGGGCTCGGATACTGCTAGTTCTGGACAGCCTCTTACCGATCGTCTGTACGTGGAATCCCATGTTCAATAAGGCTTCATGGTCGAGGATTTTCCTTCCATCAAACACATAGGCCGGCTTCATCATGACTTCATATATTTTCTTATAATCTAAAGTTTTGAATTCATCCCATTCGGTGCAGAGTACAAGGGCATGGGCACCAGCGACGGCGGAATAAGCGGTTTCATGTATTTGGATGTTTTTCCGGACGTTTTCCGGCTCATTTGTGACTAAAGGATGAGATAACTCGTAGAAGATTTGTTCATGTTCAACTTTAGGGTCATAAATGTGCAGTTTAGCCCCCTCGTCGAGTAATGTCTTACATACATATATGGCTGGAGATTCCCTGGTGTCTCCGGTGTTCTTCTTGAATGAGAAGCCAAGTATAGCAATTTTCTTGTCTGCCACAGTGTTGAATAATGATTCGATAACTTTGCGGGTGAATCTAGTTTTCTGGTAATCATTCAAGCTGACTACTTGCTGCCAGTAGGCGGCCACTTCGGGAAGATTTAAGCACTCGGATAGATAAATTAGGTTTAGTATATCCTTTTGGAAGCAACTACCACCAAAGCCAATTGATGCTTCGAGGAATTTTGGCCCGATTCTTGAATCTCGACCTACTGCTCTGGCTACCTCGGACACGTCAGCTCCCGTAGCCTCGCAGACGGCTGATAATGAGTTAATACTGGATATTCTTTGAGCGAGGAATGCATTTGCAGCCAGTTTCGACAATTCTGAGCTCCAGGTATTAGTTGTGAGTATGTTTTTGGCTGGAATCCAATGTTCGTAGACCCAACACAATTCCTGCACCGCCTTCTGGCCTTCGGGAGTATCTTCTCCTCCTATGAGGACCCTTTCAGCTTCAACTAAATCCACGATCGCTGTACCTTCGGCCAAGAACTCCGGGTTCGATAATATTTGATATTCGACGCCGGGTTTCGTGTTAGCGCGGAGTATCTTCATGATAATTTCAGCCGCTTTCACTGGCACCGTACTCTTTTCTACAACTATTTTATTACTCGTCGCTATATCGGCAATCATTCGGGCTGCGCCTTCTATGTATTTCAGATCCGCAGCCCTACCTTTGCCGTTACCGATGGTTTTAGTCGGTGTGTTCACTGAGATGAAAATTAAATCGGCCTCCAAAATGCTCGCTTCTATGTCTGTAGAGAAGAACAAGTTCCGTCCGCGACATTGCTTAACAACTTCGTCTAACCCGGGCTCGTAAATCGGTAATTTATCTGAGTTCCATTGATTTATCCTCTCCAAGCTCTTGTCACATACAGTCACTTTAATATTAGGGCATTTGAGAGCTATAACACTACACGTAGGTCCTCCGACGTAGCCAGCACCGAGACAGCAAATCTTTTCGATCACCATTATAAATACACACTGGGTTATGTAAAATGCGAATGTCTTATAAATTAAGGGAGGCTGCTAGCTCGACCGGTGCCTCTTGGCTAATAACGGTCCGTGTGGCTAAACAAGCATTTTATTATAGCGTGAAGCGTCCTCGTATGCAATACATTCTCTCTGAAGTCAATGACATTTGAAGCTGCATCAGGCAGAACTATTTAATAAGGATTACGGACACACATATGTCCTATAGGGACAGAAAAATGTACCGATGACAGTAAGAAAATGACATTTCATAAAAATAGATAATTTTTAATAAATTTTAATTTGAAATATAAAGACAGTGTTAAATATTTCTGTTTTAGATAACGATAATTTAAATGTCTGTCTATAATATTATCATTTATGTTTTGTTGTGATTCATTGAAAGTGGTTTTATAGGGAGTTTGGTTTCAAAGAGAACGTAACAATGAAATAATTTTTCTTTTTTCGGAAATATAAACGAACTTATAATGACCTAGTCAGATTTCTTCAGGTCTAAACTCCTTCTAAAATTTATATTAATTTCAAGTAACATAGAAGATTAAGAAAATATATAAAATAGAGTACAAATAAATTATTTAACAAATATAGTACCAGTGTACTAATTATGATTCCATCGTCAATGACTAGTTTAAATTCGCAAAAGTACGATTTTTGACAGATGTTTAGATTTTAGTTAATAACTCGTTTTATTGAGAAACTTTAAGATCAACAAACTATTGCGAAACGTAATAATAAAAACATTCTATTTACGTTTAATAATATTCACACAAAGCATTTTATATATCACGATTTTTGCGTGAAATTATAAAGTTTTGCAAGAACGATAGAAAAACACGATTTTTTTTAATGATATTAATATTTAATTAAAAATATGTACACGAATATTAATTCATATAATATTGGTAGAAATTCTACTGTCACTGTAGTAATAAATATCTTTCGTTAAAAATTTTACTTGTATGTTACTGAATTTTATTAAAATAATTTGAATTAATATGAAACTTTTCAATCTCAATCATGTATTATAACTTTTGAAATAAATCTTCTTTACGATGTTGTATTGTTATTTTATTTCGAAACAAACTGATTTTTCATATTTTTTTGTACATTAGGTAATTATATTTAAATTTTATGAAGAACTTTTTTTTCATTATAAATAGGATACTGCGTCCCTATCATTCAGCACATAATTTTTATTGTCACTTCATACTTTCCCTGTTTTTCAATAACGTGTTTGCGTTTATTATTTTAATATTTATTAATGATAGAACTGGTAATTCCAAGCATATCAGGTATGAATCTAAGTTAAAAGATATTAACAGGGACTGTAGCTTAAGAAAATCAACATTATCACAGTAAAAGAGTTTTTATCCCTAGAAATAGCACAAAAGATGGATACCTTCTTCTTCTTTCTGGCAATTTCCCAGCTTTAGCCAGGGTCTGCCTTACATGTTGTGAATAGTTTCGGCTAACTGTTTTTACGACCGGCCGCCTGCCTGACATCAACCCTCTTTGGGTATGCATTAATCAGTGATATCTAGCCTCTAGGGCCCGGATAAATATGTATTAAATAATATAAATTATGTACATAAAATATGGACGAAAAAATTACAAATATGGAAAAAAATGGATTATAAAATTAAATACTTTCATAATTAAACATTGTTTTACTATAAGAAAAGGGTTTCACGTGACGTACATAGATACAGTTATAGATACGATTTTTGACAGATGTTTAGATTTTAGTAACTCGTTTTATTGAGAAACTTTAAGATCAACAAATTATTGCGAAATAAAATATTAAAAACTTTCTATTTACGTTAAATAATATACACACAAAGCATTTTATATATCACGATTTTTGCGTGAAATTATAAAGTTTTGCAAGAACGATAGAAAAACACGAGTTTTTTAATGAAATTAATATATAATTAAAAATATGTACACGAATATTAATTAATATAATATTGGTATAAATGTTAGTGTCGCAGTTGTAATAAATGTCTTTCGTTAATAATTTTCCTTGTAGTTAATTTTGCTATAATTGAATATTTAATAATTTGAATAAAGTTGAAACTTTACAATCTCAATCAATTTATTTTAACTTTTGAAATTAATTTTCGGTACGATGAACTGTCATTTTATTTCCTAAACAAGCTGATTTTTGATAATTTATTGTACAATCGATATATTTAAATTTTATAATACTTAAAGAATTTTTTTTTTCATTATAAACAGCATACTGCATCCCTATGTTCAGCCCATACTTTTTATTGTCATTACATACTTTCCCAGTTTTTCAATAATGTATTTCCCTGCTTATTATATTAATATTTATTAAAGATAAAATTGGTAATTCCAAACATATCAGGTATGAATCTAAGTTATAAAGGTACTAGCTTTCCGCCCGCAGCTTCGCCCGCGTGGTGTACGGTTATATCGCGTTTCCAAGAGAACCTTTCAAAAGTCTGGGATAAAAACTATCCTGTGTTCTTTCTCAAGGTCAACTCTATGTCTATACCAAATTTCATTAAAATCAGTTCAGTGGTTTAGGCCTGAAAGCGTAACAGACAGACAGAGTTTTCCCATTTATAATATTAGTATGGATTAACAGGGACATTAGCTTGAGAAAATGAACATTATCACAGCAAAAGAGTATTTATCCCGACAAATACCACACAAGGTGGATGCTAAAACTTAATAAATATAACACAAACACACTTTATTTATTGGTTGTATATGTCCATAGGAATTGAAACACATTTTATTACAAAAATATATTTAAGCCATATCCGGAGCCCATAGCTTGAATGTTCTATCGTAGGAGCTGGTCGCTATGTACTTGTTGTCCGGGGAAATATCACAGCTCATTATCTGGTGACAAACAAGATATATATATTAACACATTATAAAGATTTATTTGTATATTAAGAGACAAAACCTCTCATCATTCCATGTATTCACGGTGCGTGTGTCGGGTCCATCGTTGTAGTGAGAGGAGCTTCAACAGTGACTGGGACTTGTGACCCAGGTGTAGGTTTAATATATATAGAGAGACGAAACCTCTCATCATTCAATGTATTCACGGTGCGTGTGTCTGGTCCATCGTTGTAGTGAGAGGAGCTTCAACAGTGACTGGGACTTGTGACCCAGGTGTAGGTTTAATATATATAGAGAGACGAAACCTCTCATCATTCAATGTATTCACGGTGCGTGTGTCGGGTCCATCGTTGTAGTGAGAGGAGCTTCAACAGTGACTGTGACTTGTGACCCAGGTGTAGGTTTAATATATATAGAGAGACGAAACCTCTCATCATTCCATGTATTCACGGTGCGTGTGTCGGGTCCATCGTTGTAGTGAGAGGAGCTTCAACTGTGACTGGGACCTGTGACCCAGGTGTAGGTTTAAGGGACCCTATCTAACGCGTTAAACGCTCACCTCCACCGTACAAGCTCCTCTCTCTACATAGCTATATATAAGATATGTGAGTAGAGTTTGTATGTGTGTGTGTGTGTGTTACCTTATTGTCATGTCCGGAGAGTGTCCTCAGCGGGTGCCAGGCGGGGTTTGACCAGAGCTTGGCAGAATTGTCATACGAGGAGGTCAATAGGAAGTGACCCTGGCTGCGTTGATAACGGATGTCTGGGGAATATTATACAAAGATATAAAAAAAAGATTCATAGATTCATTATGATTAATATGAAATATAGTATAGTCCGTTAGACTTAAGCTGAGCTTTGCATTTGTGTGAGTGAAAGTAAAAGTAGAGTTAGACAAAAAAGTTATAAAATTCAATTTTATTATATTTTAAATAGATACATAACATAAGTACTATAAAATAAGCAAAACTTATAAAAGTCCAGATGGAAATATTTTGAATATTGAGGAAAAAAATTTATTGATTAATAAGAATTTTGAAAAAACTACATACATATTCTTATTCACTTAACATATCGTTTTCAACATTTGATATTGCTACCAGTACAAAAGGTGAAGTGAGGAAGGTGCGGGGCGGAGTAAAAGTAGTACAAACCGGTTCAAAACTAGAAAAGAACGTGGCATTCAATAATTTGACATCACACTTACACTATGAGTTTACACTCACACAAATGCAAAGCTCAGCTTAAATCAAACGCACTATATGTGATTGAATATTGTCTGTGTATGTGTGTGTAATAATATGTACCACTGATGAGATGCGTGTGCGCAGGTATTGTGTATATGGACGACCGACGCCTCAGGTCCCAGATCTTAGCCTGAAATAAACATTTATATATTGTAATACATACTGTGAAATAATTAAGACGTTTATATTTTTTTGTCCAAGTTAAAAAAAATAATAGAAAAATAAATAAGTATATCATAATGTTACATCAATACAATATTATTAAATGACAAGAATTAATTGTCTCTATGACTATGGCTTGTTAGATAACGGGGTAAGTATAAGCCTCGAACAAAATTCACTATCATCATTTGCCATTTAATAGAAAAACTACGAGACATCGATCAATAATAATAAGTTTCTGAGGGGTAACTATATACCCTCAGCTATTTATCATAACTTAATAAGAAGAAAACTCTCAAAGTATTCTATATTTTATTTGTAGTATGTGTGTGTGTGTGTAACCTGATGATCAGCGGCGGCCGTAGCTAGCTGGTGACCGGCGGGGGCCCAGTCGACCCCAAGCACGGGTCCCAAGTGACCCTCAAGAAACATGACGCAGCGACCCGTGCGGAGGTCCCACACACGACCGAACGCGTCCATACCACTGGGGACAGTCAATAACCCCATATAAATAGGTGAAGTTTAATTAAATATAATTAATAATTGTTTGAGTATATATATAAAGTAAGCAATTTATTAACTTTGTGGAGTCGTTATTAGCCTATCAGAGCTCATTACTGAACAAAGGGTTCTTCTCACATGGAGAAGGTTTGAGAATTAATCACCACGCTCGCTCAAGACGGGTTGGTGATTTCAAACTTATAATTTGATGGAAGTCCATGTTTCCTCATATTTTCCTTCATCAGTCAGTGATGTCTAAATACTCTTATAAAGTACATATGACTCGGAACAATCACATTGGTACTCGCCAGGATCGAACCCGCGCCCTCTTGCTTGAGAGGCGGGCCTTTTAACTACTAGGACACCACTGACCACTGACCAACTTTGTAAAAAAAACCTCTATATTGTGGATTTCTCATCCAACCTGTTTAATTATTCCATACATTACTATCAGTCACTATACAGGGTGACTGGTGAATGACTATCGATATTTGAGGACGTGATATTTGACGATCATATATGACAAAATAAAAATTAATATAACATAAATATTAATAAACTTCTAAGTAAAGTTAACCAAAAGTTATGTAATTAATTACGCATCGTATGAACACCCTACAGATTAGGTATACACACACACACACACACACACGCGTGCGGCGGCGTGTTGTTGTATCAGCACGCCGCTGCACGCGTCCACACTTGGAACACTTGGAACGTGTACACACTTTATTTATTTATACGGAAATTTGGTCAAAAATTAAGTACCTATTTTTTTTACATAATTCGAATGAGAATCATGTACCGAGTATGCTCCTTAAATATTGATAGTAATTCACCAGTCACCCTGTATAATATACACTAGTCGCCTCACCCGGTCACTGCCAAGGATCCGTCACATTGAAAGGCGACGCTGTACACCGGCTTGGCGTGACCTTCCTGGTGAAGAACCTCCGTCTCTGGAAATAAAATAAATAATTTTAATACTAGTTTTTGTCCGCGACTTCGTCCGCGTTCATTTCTACATCTTCTATATATATAAAAATGGATGGCTGTTCCTTAGTCTCGCTAAAACTCGAGAACGGCTGAACCGATTTGGCTAATTTTAGTCTTGAAATACTTCTGGAAGTCCAGGAAAGGTTTAAAAGGTGAGAAAAATTGGAATAATTGCCGAAAAAACCCTAAAAACAGCCCTTCTCTATTTCCCATACAAACGATTTTTTGACATTAGACTTGACAACTAACTAATATGTCAATCATTCTGTCCCATTGAAACAGTAGAAATTTAATAAATACCAATACCTGGTTATTGATAACGGAATATAGTTTGCCCGGTCAGCTATACCTATATTACTAATGACGAAATTAACGCGGACGAAGTCGCGGGCAAAAACTAGTTGGTAATATATGTATAGCTGACCGGGCGAACTGTATTCCGTAATAAATAACCAGGTATTGGTATTTATTAAATTTTTTCTGTTTCAATCGAACAGAATAATTGACATATTAGTTAGTTGTCAAATCTAATGCCACAAAACGTTTGTATGGGAAATAGAAAAGGGCTGCTCTTGTTGTTTTCCCGGAAATGATTCAATTTTTCATTTTTTAAACCTTCCCTGAACCTCCACGAACATTTTAAGATAAGATAAATCCGTTCAGCTGTTCTCGAGTTTTAGTGAGACTAACAAACAGCAATTCATTTTTATATATATTTAGACAACCCACATTTAATTTGAATCAAACCTTTAAACTCCCGAACGCACCCGAAGTGACGTTAAAGAAATGACGTTTGGTTTGTTCACTTTTACGAGGGAAAGTATTTGTCACACGTCTTGTGTGTTTGTAAATTGAATTTGACTTATTTAATGTGTTTTGGTTTAAGATAATAATTATTTTATTCAAGTTAAGGTTTAATTACTCATTAAAAATAAGGCTTTATAAGAAAATTACACTTTTTTAATGATTTTGTTAGAACCATATATATATATTATAGGAGTATGAAATTAGGAGTGGAATCATAAGTAGATTTGTCAAAATATCAATACGGTCTTTTCGTATTTCGTCAGTGTAACGGAATAATCAATCTTATGTTTTTTCTGTTTATATCTTACGTATGTGTTATCATCAGATTTCATAACACGATAATTTGAAAGTTATTAATATAAAATTGTGTTTAATCCTACTAATATTATAATTGCGAAAGTTTGTGAGTGTGTGTGTATGTTTGTTACTTCTTCACGCTCAAACGGCTGAACCGATTTTGATAACATTTTGTATACAGGAAGCTGACGTCCAGGAATAACACATAGGCTACTTTACATCCCGGAAAATGTTTGACTTTTCCTCATATAAGCGAAAAACCATATACACTCGAGAATTCAACTCCTAGCCAAAACGACATTATCGCTATGTACCTTTTACCGGTCTATGTAGGCACGACCGACAGCCAATAAGCATTTATTTCGTTAAAAAATTACGAAATTATCGCGGACGAAGTCCCGGGCAAAACCTAGTGTAATATAATCGTAATATTCAATTAAATCTTTTGTTATATCATATACTAGGTGCGCCCCGCGGTGTTACCCGCGGATTTCCGGGATGTAAAGTAGCCTGTGTGTTATACCTGGATGTCAGCTTCATGTATACAAAATTTTATCAAAATCGGTTCATCCGTTTGAGCGTTTAGAAGTAACAAACATACACACGCACTCACAAACTTCCACAATTATAATATTAGTAGGATTCTGTGTTGTTATAAATCTATATATGTATGTGTTTTAATCTGGATGTACCCACGTGTCTCCAAGTCCCACAGCCTCCAGGAGTGATCAAACACTGTAGTAGCTAAGTATCGACCTGATGGATGGAACTCTACCCGCGACACGCGCGACGGAGAGTGACCCTGGAGTGACGCGAGGGGAGACTCACTGGAGAGAGAGAGAGAGAGATTAGTTAGAGAGGGACAGAGATAGATTATGTTTATATGAGTCGATTTTATAGTATTTATAGTAGACAAATAGTAGATATAACTTTTGGTTGTAAAGCAGTGCCGGCGTTAGGGGGGGGGGCGATGGGGCGACGGCCCAGGGCGCCAAATTTGGGGGGCGATTAGTGGAGGTAGGATGCTTATAAGTGAAAAAAATAATAGGAGCTACATATCTTTCTACGTCCACGTTGTTAGCTCTGGGTCACGCTAAAGGAAAGATGGAATATAGAATTCTTAATACACGTTCAGTGTTCACATTGATTCAGAAAAAAATAATACTCGATTTTGATTACTTCTAGTGGGCGCCAAAATATTCTTGCCCAGGGTGTCAGTCCCTCTAACGCCGGCACTGTTGTAAAGTGTAAGGTTTGAGTTTATTGGGGTACATAACGACCCCGGCATGGAAAATAATGCTTATATAAATTATAATGAGATTATTTTATCGCTGATTTATTATGTAATTTTTTTTATTGTATTTTTCGATTTGACTGTATCTGTTAGCTTTAATGGCTTTGACAGCGTTACTGAAGATTGATGGACACTCTAACTGTCACTTGTCATATATATAGCAAAGTTTCATGAAAATCGGCTCAGCATTATTATTGATACCTGACAAAGTTCCACAGGAACACACTGCCGTCGTAACCACAGGAAGCCATCGCTACGTTATGTGATGCGTCAGATACATCCACCGACATATCTTCGGATTTATCGTCAGATTTATCCTCGGATTTTTCCGCCTGAAAATTGTTACATACGATTTATATGTATATGTATATATGACCATGATTCGAACTTGCGACTTATAAAACATATTACAGTCGCTTTAACATTTGGACTAAGTTTCATTTTATTCATTTTTAATTTTTTAATTGCTTAGTAATAAGTTGGTAATTTAGTAATAGTTGGTTGGTTATTGTCTTTTGTAATTTACATTTTATATTGAATTATTATTGGTAGTATTTTTTGTTTCTCCTTTTGTATAATTGAAGTAGAAAAAAAAGGTTGTGTTAAGTTAATAGAAAATACTGCCCTTTTCCATGCCCTTTAATTTTTAATTGAAACAACACTTAACTAAAAATGTAATTACCTTTATTTTAAAACCTATAAATGGTGTATGTTTTGTAAGTTGTCCTTATATAAATAGATAAACTGTCGCGTCCATAGTATATGTATATGATGATTATTACACGAACCTTGAGTTGCAGATGATGCGGCATCACCGCTTGAGGGTGGAAGGTCGCCGAGCTCACGTTACAAGTGTGACCCAACAAGGTCTGGACCTCCACACACCCCGGGACAGACCACACGCGACACACGCCCGACCTGGAAAGGGGAGGGGGGGGGGGTATTATAGACCCCAGGATATTACACTGAGATTCATCATCATCAGTCTATCAGAACCCACTGCTGTAAGGCCTCTTCTCACATGGAGAAGTTTTGCATTTGTTATGGACCCCAGGATATTATATATATATAACTAGCTTTCCACCCGCAGCTTCGCCCGCGTGGAGTTCGGTTATATCGCGTTTCCAAGAGAACCTTTCAAAAGACTGGGACAAAAACTATCCTATGTTCTTTCTGAAGGTCAACTCTACGTCTGCACCAAATTTCATTAAAATCAGTTCAGTGGTTTAGGCGTGAAAGCGTAACAGACAGACAGAGTTACTTTCGCATTTATAATATTAGTAGGGATATTTCCATGTCACAATGTTAGTTACTGTACTCCTACGAAACGGCTTTACTGATTTTTACTAAACTTTAGATACATATTCAATAGGTCTGAGAATCGGCTACTATATATTGTTCATATCCCTAAGTGATGAGGATTACTCACCAAAATTATTTTTTTATTTTTGTTTTTATGTGGCATTAGAAATACATATAAACCAAAATTTTTACTTTTTTATCACCAACCCCTATTATTTATATGATAAAACAACGTTTGCCGCGTCAGCTACTATGTATATATCCCAAGATAGTAAGTTTCCATGTAACTCTATCTAGAGTATAGATACATTTAATTTGAACTATATATGTGTATATATTTGTTTATAACTCACCAGCTCGACGTTATAAGCATCTTACTGTCTGAACTGAACCTACAGAAGCTTATGGGTCTCGTGTCACCTATCTGATGGAAAAAATATATATTATACAACATACATATACAGGGTGACTGGTGAATTACTATCAATATTTAAGGAGCATACTCGGTACATGATTCTCATTTGAATTATGTAAAAAAAATAGGCACTTAATTTTTGACAAAATTTCCGTATAAATAAATAAAGTGTGGATACGTTCCAAGTGTTCAAGTGTGGAGGCGTGCGGATACAACACTACGTCGTGACACGCGTATGTGTGAGTGTGAGTGTATACCTAATCTGTAGGGTGTTCACACGATGCGTAATTAATTACACAACTTTTGGTTAACTTTACTTAGAAGTTTATTAATATTTATGTTATATTAATTTTTATTTTGTCATATATGATCGTCAAATATCACGTCCTCAAATATTGATAGTAATTCACCAGTCACCCTGTATATATATTTTCTTAAAAAAAGATTAAGGGGGGGTCTAAAACGATATACAAGTATGTAATATGAATTTTCATGTATTTTAATATATCTTTACTATCTTCTAACAATTTTAATACTGTTACATTTGTACAAGATTTGAACTTGGGACTTTTGGTGTGTTATATAGATGATTGAGCTCTCATGCCACTGTGTATATATATATATGTGTGTGTGTGTGTGTATCGATACCTGACTACAGTATATAGAGTTAGCAGCAGCCTTCCTCTGTGCGTCTTGTTTAGCGGCCGCCCTCACGCTGCCGGCTAGCTCCAGCTCAGAACGAGCTTGGGCCAATCTGATGAATACACGTAACATATAATTCACAATAGAATACTATAGGCATCGCAAAAAACTTAGTATGAAACTAATATTATTCGGATTAGGTACTACGAGTATTTTACTATCAGACATTCTCACACCGTCTTAATGATCACGATTGCTGTAAAGTAACCGAAAAATCGTTATTATGTAGGTAAAAATAATAAAAAACGCGTATTATACAAAAATACTAGCACCATATACATTTTAAAGTCTTAGAACTCATTAAGTTCTCGTCCTCTCTCCTTTACTCTTCTCTATATTCATAGATAATATTTCCAAAAACATTTCTTCTCCCTATCATCTCTATGCAGATGATTTGCAGCTTTATAGACATACTCCACTATCTACACTTGTGGTAGCTATCGAGGCTGTTAATGAGGAGTTGATATCTATACACAGATGGGCAAATGACTTCGGTTTACTAGTGAACCCTAATAAATCTCAGGCGATAATTATTGGAAGCAAGCAACTCTACAAAAAAATTAATTTTGACACTTTACCCTGTATAATGTACGATGGGGTGACAATTCCATTGTTAGATCGGGTTAAAAACTTAGGTCTATTAATGGATTGTCACCTGTCGTGGACAGCTCAGGTGAATGAGGTAAGTAGAAGAATTCACTCTACTCTTCATTCTCTTAAACGTCTGCAAAACTTCCTTCCTTTTAAAACTAAAATTGTTCTAGCACAATCTCTCCTTCTTTCCTTACTCGACTACGGTGATGTTTGCTACTTAGATGCCACTGATGAGCTGCTCGATAAACTGGATAGACTTCAAAATTTGTGCATCCGATTTATTTTCGGCTTGCGTAAATACGACCACATCTCTGAATTCCGCAGCAAATTAAAGTGGCTCCCTATCCGCTTCCGCCGGAATATGCATGTTTTAACGTTAATGTACAATGTGTTCAAACATTCTTCTCCCCCGTACCTACTCGAACGTTTTAAATTTTCCTCCCCCAGAATCCTTCCTAATCGTTCCTGTGTTGCAGAAAATCCTCTTGATATATTGTATTTATTTGTATATATTTATGTATATATCTATGTATGTATAATATCTGTATTTTATACTATTATAATTTGATTTGTATTCTTATATATATACCTCTATATATATCTATATACCTCTTTTTTCTTTTTTCCTTCTCTCATTTTATTGTATCTATGCCACATTTCTCTTCTCATTTCCTCTATCAAAAGGGTTTCTGGTAGAGATCTCTTTTAAGAGATAAGTTATCCTTTGTACATGACATTTCTCTTATAATATTCGAATTGTAACTATTTTTTATGTTTGGTACATTAATAAATAAATAAATAAATAAATAAATAAAATGACCCATTTATCGCTGGGGTAACACAATGACCCCAAACTAACCTCTGTTTAGCCCTCGGTAGTGAGAATCTTGCTATATCGATCCGGGCCCTCCTTAAAGCCGCGGGGCCTTCGTGATACCAAGTCCCCTCCCGGCCTCGGTCCCTCTCCAGACGGGCCTCCTCTTCCTCCAAGGCCTTGTGGATAGCATCCTCACCTAAACTGGGTTATAGTATAGTAAAAAAACAGGTATTATTTTACAGTTGAGAGAAACGAACGAAGCGAACGGAACTCGATCGAAATGAGGTCTCATGTTCGATAGCCCAGTTATCGTGAATTTCATCAATATAAAATTCAGATTCGACCAAAAATTTCAATATAATCATCAGAAAATCGAACACATGTCCAAAAAACGCTAAATCGCTTCAATAAACTTGCACCAAGCACTCTTTTACTGAGCAAAATATCCAAAAATGCAACGATGCATATCCTAGTATGATAACAACACAGAATCCTACTAATATTATAAATGCGAAAGTAACTCTGTCTGTCTGTTACGCTTTCACGCCTAAACTACTAAACTGATTTTAATGAAATTTGGTACAGAGATGGAGTTAGCTTTGAGAAAGAATATAGGATATTTTTTATCCCAGACTTTTGAAAGGTTCTTTTGGAAACGCGATATAACCGAACTCCACGCGGGCGGAGCTGCGGGCGGAAAGCTAGTAGTATATAAACCATTAAGGTACCCCATGACTCATTTTTATTTGAAACCCATAAAGTAACCCCATTAGATATTTATTATATATTATATTTATACTCACTAGCTGAGTAGATCCCTCAAGCGGACTCTTCTCTCAGCCGGACCTTCTCCAAACAGACACACAGGCTCACCAAGTTGACGAAGACTCCGTCTGACCTGGTTCAAGAAAAATAGTCACTTAATACTTACTGAATATTATATATACAGACTGTAGTATTTTATCTATACAATATATATAACTCACTGTCCCACGTACCCCACTAGAGGGGCGGCATGCGCTCGGCAGTCTAACGACTAGCGTGAAGGAGAACGGGGACGTGCGTCGCTCTAGGGGAGGTAGTAGTGAGACAGGGACTAGTTATACTTACATAGAGGACGAGAGGGTGCTAAAAGGCCTATATCAAGTGTAGTATTCAATAAAACTATATTAAATTCTTCATAGGTGTTGTGACATGTAACAAAATGAATGATAGAACCTACAACCTCGTAATATTGGACCCTTATGAGTAGGTAGTTATGCTTGCTAAGTATTGTTAAATAATTAAATAATATGATGTCAAGTGTCATGTAGGTAGGTCACTTTATTAAATTAGGTACTATCATAATCTTGATATGCCATACAATACATATATATGTATATAATATAGATTTATTAAATACAACATAACAATATTATACATATATATACATATGTGTGTAAATATCTTTGAGTAATTTCTTATAAGAAAAATACTGAACCATTTCAATGATACTAATATTTTCGGATTTACTACGAATTTTCTATTATTTTGAGCTATATTCTCATCTCATCTCCCCGTGATCACAATTATAGAAAAATAAACAAAACGGGAGTATGTATATAAAATAATAAGTTTGCATATTATAATCCGAATAATATTAGTTTCATTTAAATACTACCGAAAGTCTTAGATATTAATAGCTGAACCATTTCATCTGTAGTTCAAAACGTTACTACTAACCTCGTCATCATCAGTCGATACATTCAACTGACGAGCTTTCCTTCTCCGTTCAAACTCCTCTAATAACGCCTTTTTATCTTTTGTTATCTCATCTTCCAACTCCATGTATTCTGGAATTGAAATAACATTATTTAGTATGTCTTTATAGTATTTTAACAACTTTACAACAAATTACTGTTGACTATAAGAAATGCAAACTCAATTAACGAATTTAAATCTCAACTTTCACAATATATTTTAAAAAATAATTGATATACCGACGATGTAACACACTTGTAATAATATCTTACTATCTTTAATTGAGTTCCAAATAATCTGGCGACTACTTTTGTATTTTCACTTTTGTATATATGTTCTCATGTAAGTGACTTTGTCTTTTTGAAAATAAATTCTTTAAACCAAAGTGATATAAGTAGTATTTTATAAATTATACTGTTATCTATACAAATTTTAGAGATTTCTAGATCCTCATAACTTTATAATGGGATTGTTGTCTCAATAATAATATAAGAATATAAGTTCTGGACTTACCATTGGAAATTTGTATGTCACCAGTTTCTTTGGCACTTTCTTTAACTCCCTCCCTGGCAGCCGCCGCCAGAGCCGCCAGCCGAGCCTTCTCCTGCTCCTCCAGAGACCCATAATACAGTTTAGGCTTTTTCACCGCTACTACTTCATCGTCAGACATTTTAAGGTTATTTATATATTATAACTTATAAAACTGGTCCCTTATAAGTATTAGACGCATGGGTTTTAGGAACAGACACTATTAACTTAATATAACGGCGTTTAGTTTTATAATAATTTGATTATTTTAATTTAATTTACAACAAAAATAGTAGCGTCGGCAAAACAAACACATTATCACTTATATCTGTCAAGATTCAAGCTTCACTGTCAAATAAGTTATAAGTTTGATTGCAAAAACTTTAAATAACAATCAAATATTTTATTTTAATCAAAATAATTACTAAGTTTTTATAAATAAATGGTATTATAATGCAATACATGCTAAATGAAACACGAAATAAAATGAAGTGTTAATAAATATAAATATATAAATAAAGTTTTGTCTATGAACATTGCATCTTCATAGTTTACGTCAGAGTGTAGATTTGCTTTGAATCTTAAAATTAATTTCAAAATAAATTTTAAATACATCGAAATGTGAAGTTTGACGAATTTTAAAGATATTATACGCATAATTAGCTACATCATATAGTATATTATCAGAACCTAAGGTATAAGATAGAACATAACCTAAAAGGTGTAAGTGTTGTGATTTTTGAAGATTTTCTGCTGAGAATTATGGCTTTACAGTTGTCCAAACGTGAAGTAGAAGACCTAAGATCTTCCCTCGATCGTGCAATCTACAGAACTATAGGAAAATCAGATAGTTCACTGCTATATACGGTGTCTTCATGCCTGACAAACGGGTAAACATATATTGTTTTAATTTCCCTTATTTGACGAAAAACACGTAAAAGTATTGATTATTATATAAATTGCTTATCGTGGAATGATTTTACATAAGTTTCTGCATATAATAATTAATAATTATACGAAAGAAAACAATCAATATCGCAGATTAGACGAAGATGTATAATGCGTCTTTGAAATAATAAATTTTTATTTCATGGTTCTATGTAAAGCCATTTAAGATATAAATCATTTAATTATTCAAATTATATTCTATATATTATTAATATTACACAAAGTTGTATATTGAAACTGAACAACAAAACAGAATTGTATAAAAAAGTATATATTTATGACTTCTAACTAATTCTCAAATGCATGTTTCTAATATGAATAAACTAAAAATACCGTTAATTTCGTATCTACCTCTCTGTTACAGTCGGTAATTATTATAAATATCATTCATTACAGGTACGAACGCCGTAAGATTATAGATAAAATATCATCGCACATAGATTCCAAGAAGGCGAGCAAACTAGCTGACAAGATTATAGCCCTCGCACAGGAGCTTATCTCATCTTCGAAGAGCCAGAAACGGAAATATGATGACAAGGAGAAAGATAAAGATAGTAAAAGGTAAATTTGATTATAGGTTTGTGTAGTATTCAATAGGAGTATATTAAAGTTAAGTATGTATTGTGCTAAGGGATGTTATGCATATTATGTTAAGGGATGAATGTCATATAACAAGAAGAATGTTAGAATGTGGAGGGATATATGGGTCGAGGTAGACTTAAGAACAGATGGATGGATTGTATGAAGGATGACGTGGCTAAGAAAGGGGTAACCGATGAGACGACATCTGATAGTTGAGACTGGAAGAGAACATGTTGTGTCGACTATACATAAAGTTGGACGAGGGCAGGGAGAAGATATATGATAGCACCTAATATAATAAAGAAATCAATCTACATTACACTTGACATTATATTATAACAATACCGAGCAATCATAACTAATACATGTATGAGGATCGGGACAGCAAGTTGTGGTTTAAGTATGTTAGATATATGTTTCAATGATTATAGCTAACTTGGAACTTCTGACATGATTCTTAGTAGGTTAGTTTCATATTAGGTAGAGAGAGGAGCTTGGACGGTGGAGGTGAGTGTTTAACGTGTTAGATAGAGGTCCCTTTAACCTACACCTGGGTCACAAGTCCCAGTCACTGTTGAAGCTCCTCTCACTACAACGATGGACCCGACACACGCACCGTGAATACATTGAATGATGAGAGGTTTCGTTTCTGACTTCTGTCATGTAATATTCAGATAGGTCCTATTAAATAGGTTGACAAATAAGAGACAAGGCTAAGTTTAAAAAAGTTATTTTGTATAAAACCTATACCTATAGTATGTTATATATTATTGAAATATAATAAATATACTAATACTATGGGTTGCATGTTAATACTAAATACTGACTGTACAGTTTTTCTTGTATGGATTTTGATGTATTAACTGGAAACTGTCATTATATAGTTTCCTTATACTTATAGCAAGTATAAAGATATACTTCCTGACCGATGCATAATTGATTCAGATCTCGTCATGACTCCCGCGAAGAGAGACGGGAGAGAGATGACAAAGAGAGAAAGAGTGACAACGGAGAGGAGATACCGAGCATTACAGAGGGAGAGACTATTGGATCAAAGATGACCGGACTCAGTGCGGATAAGATCAAGGTACATACTAGCTGCGCCCCGCGGTGTTATCCGCGGATTTCCGGGTTGTAAAATATCCTATGTGTTATTCCTGGACGACAACTTCCTGTGTACAAAATTTTATCAAATTCGCTTCAGCCGTTTGAGCGTGAAGAAGTAACAAACATACACACATACTCACAAACAGTAGGATGTATATTGAAAGGATTGCTGAGATAAATATTTGTGGTTAATCTTCCTCTATATAAAATATGATTTGCCAAAGAGTTTTCTTAAAGTGTGATTACTAATTATCAATGCTATTTGTGTGTTTGTCTTAGCAATATAAACCTCTAAACCTTCTTTCTTCGGTGCTAAAAATTTACACCAAACTTATGGTCAATACTTGTTTAAGTAGCTTACGTAGCAAAGAATATAATGGGACTGCTAAGTGACTCCCTATTGACTTGTGACTATTTTATATATAATTTATGAAATATTATTTATGTGATTTTTTTTGTCTAACTGAAAAATCAAAAAGCACATTCCACGTAAATTTTCTCAATGATAGTTTTTTTAAATTTAGAGAAACGAAAGACACACGGCATCATAATATTTTTTGTGTTATCTATTACATTAATTGTAATCTTTTCAATGTCCCATACTTTCCTACCCTTTAACTTTTCCCATCCTTTCCACTACCTCCTTGTCAATCAAGGATGGCAACGCATCCGCAAATAATTATGCGCATTTCCATGGACGACGGAACTTCCTCCATCAGTTAGGCTGTCTGCTCGTTTGCTGTTTTTGCCATATAAATAGTAACCAAATATTCTGCATGAAAATGATTTAATATTTATAGTTTATACCGTCTCATTTCTAGGTGATGATGGCGAACGCTCAGAAGGAGATTGAGGAGAGGAAACGAGCTCTCATGGCCATCAAGGGGGAATCTCGGAACGTTAGCACGGCTGCGGCCGCCGCTCAGCAGCTTAGGGCTCACGTGGCGGGGGGCATAGCACCCCCCAGTGTCATCAAACCGATACTGTACTCTAAACCAGGTGAGAACGGCTTGGGATGTAGTGATGATGATGATGATGATGACGAAATAATGTACTTGTACTTAGTTTTGGGAGGTTTTGGGTATAAAGAACTTTATTTCTCACTAGTTTTTGCCGCGACTTCGTCCGCGTGGAATAGTGACTTCCGGCAGTTTTTTTGGTTCTTCCCACATAGTTCCCGTTCTTGCGGGGTTTTCGGAATGGTCGAGTTACCGTAGAATTTTCAGGATAAAACCTATGTTTTTTTTTATTCACAATGAAGTACTCTTAACCAACGACATATTTATTTGTTTATTTGAATAAAGATTAATATTATTATGTTGATACAACTTAAACAAATTATTTCGACCAAATTAGGTACCATAAAAACGGTTTTTGTGAGTTAATCTTAAAAGATAGACATATACTGTCGCGGACTGTTTTTTAGATCATTAAAAGAGATATTATTCTTTAATACATATTTTTTGTGTATCTTAAACCGTTTTCACGGTGCACGCAACGGAAGGCTTCAAAGATGAAATAATTTCTCCCGTTTTTTACACATTTACCACTATATCTTTGCTCCTATTGGTCGTAGCGTGATGTTATATAGCCTAAAGCCTACCTCGATAACTGGACTATCCAACACAAAAAGAATTATTCAATTCGAACCAGTAGTTTCGGAGATTAGCGCTTTCAAACAAACAAACAAACTCTTCAGCTTTATAATATTAGTATAGATAAGAATTTTACATTCACTTAAAATGAGATACAAGGAATATTTACAAGATAACAATTTTAACAAACGGGCCGTTGGACATGACAGACTTGCTACATTAACTACTACAGCGAGGATATTAAATATTTTTTTAATTAACCCTTCAACATCCCTATACTATCACACAGTTTTATTTCGTCTGGTAGTTTATTGAACAGTTTTGTTAGAAATATCTTGACTGAAAGACTGTTTTTTGAAACAAAGCGGACAGTATACATGATGGAAGTATACCGTCAGCCTTGGTTATAGAAAATGGGGATGAAAAAAATAGGAAAGGATGCGAAAACGATAGAGCAACCGTCTCTCTCACTCATCATACTAAACGCAGCTATTAAAGACTACTTCACGCCGATCTTCTGTGAGAGGGTGGTACTTCCCCGGTCGAGCTGTAGTAATTTGACCACTTGGTTCTACCACCTACTTTATACAGGGTGACTGGTGAATTACTATCAATATTTAAGGAGAATACTCGGTACATGATTCTCATTCGAATTATGTAAAAAAAATAGGTACTTAATTTTTGACCAAATTTCCGTATAAATAAATAAAGTGTTGACACGTTCCAAGTGTTCCAAGTGTGGACGCGTGCGGCGGAGTGCTGATACAACACAACGCCGTCGTACGCGTATGTGTGAGTGTGTGTATACCTAATCTGTAGGGTGTTCATACGATGCGTAATTAATTACATAACTTTTGGTTAACTTTACTTAGAAGTTTATTAATATTTATGTTATATTAATTTTTATTTTGTCATATATGATCGTCAAATATCACGTCCTCAAGTATTGATAGTAATTCACCAGTCACCCTGTATATGATAGGTTTATGTAATATTGAATTAGAATTCTAATTGGGATCATAGTTCCTTCTAGCATTCTAACTCCATTAATCACTATAGTCATATTAATAACTCATATAATTCATCTCCAAATTTTTCATTTCAGCCGCTACCCCAATAACAGCTGAGGAATTGGAGAAGCAGAGGAAGATAGCGGAGCTGCAGGCCAGGATACAGAGGAAACTGGCGGGCGGAGCCCTGGCCGCGGCCGGGGGCTCCGGGCCTGCGCCCCTCATACTGGATAGAGAGGGGCGGACTGTGGACACGAGCGGGAAGAGGGTGCAGCTGACACATGTGGCGCCTACACTGAAGGTATCACTACCATACATACTAAGAGGTGATAGGAAACATAAGTATAGAAATATATGATACTTGCTACTAAGAGATGATGGGAAAAGATTTGTTGAATAAGTATAGAATATATGATATCTGCCAGGTATCGAACCCGTGCCCTCATGCACGAGAGGCGGACCTTTAACCACTAGGACATCACGACTTAATATTTTTTTCCGAGTCATGAGTCTTCTCGAAATACATTCAAGTAATAAACGAGAAATAAATACAAACTTAAATTACCCAAAACCAGGACCAAATACGGAATTAAAACTATACAGTTTGAGGGAGCGAAACTATATAATGGCTTACCTAATTAAATTTTTTATGAAAAAACCTTTACGATTTTTAGAAAGAATTTATTAACTTATTGTAAAAATCACTTAGATTAACTAGTCTTGAATTGTATAATATAATATATATAATATTTAATAACTTTTTTATTTCAAGTGACTATGACTACATTATTGTTAGTAATACATGTTTCTTATCTCCTATGTTAGTATAATAAATTAATTAAACAAAAATAAAAATAAAATAAAAATAAAAAACTATCACTAAACTTGTAATCATGGTAGTAATTGCTGAACTGATCCGCTCGAGATAGCACAGCAACGACTAACATACTTACAGTCTAACCTGCTAGCAATTGCCTTCATGATGCTGTTGGGACTATCCCGCAATCTGTACACCAAGGATCCGCATCTTTTGCGTGTAATGGCATAAAAGCAATCGACCCTCGCTGCCGCGAACATCCCTGATGCGCTACAATGGCGGGGCAATCCCATCAGCACTCTAAAGGCATTGTTATATTGGACCCGGAGTGCGTTATACGACTTTTGAGAGTATTTGGCCCACAGATTGCACGTGTAGAAGGTGGTACAATAGGCTCTAAACAGTGTAAGCTTAACTTCGCTCGAACAACTTACAAATCTGCGGGCCAACATATTCGCCCGTACAGACAACGCCCTCCGTTCCCTCTCGATGTCAGTGTCATCCTTGAGGTCGGGTGTCAAGATGTGTCCTAAATATTTGAATTTATATACCCTTACCAGACTAGTGCCATTGAGCACAATGGGTGGTATTGTTCTCTCTATTTTACCTTCGGCCTCAAAGATCATCATCACACTCTTTTTGACATTGTATATCAATCCATGTTTTTCTACATATGCCTCACATATGGCCATCAGCTTCCTAAGACCGCAAATCGATGCGCTCAGCAGTACAGCCGACCCTGGCACTGCTGAGCTCCCCGATCAAATCGTTCACATACAGGTTGAAGAGCGTTGGTGAGCTTAACCCCCCCTGCCTCACCCCGCACTCCAACCCATATGCACGCGATAGAGTTCCTGCCCATCTGACGTTGTTGACCTGGTTCTTATACCAGTATTTAAATATGTTGATAAGTTCAGGTGGTATATGAACTTTATCCATCATATAAGTACCATATAAGTCATTACTATTATACTAAACTAGTAAACCTGGCGAACTCCGTTTCGCCTCCAGAAGGCTTTGTTTTATGTAACATTTCGTTTGGTGATTAAAAGATGAATTTTTTTTGTTTTATATTTGAAAAGGAAAATTTTTCATTTTATTTCACAACAGTAATGAATTTATTTCGATTACAAAAATGAAGTGTTATTTTGTTGAACTTCTCTAAGTAAATGAAAGTGAATCCAAAGTAGATACCGAATCGAAGCGTTATACGTGTCCGCAAATTATCCGTTTCATTGAAGTGCTCCTTTGTAAACCACATTTTTTGTTTTTTGGTCTAACGTTAACACAAATAAACCGGATGGTTTCCCAACTCGTGAACACACAAACTATAACTGCCCATGTGAAAAACAACGATTTTCTAAATTTATCCCACAAATACTAAATTACATATCTGTCATTATACGTCAATTGCATAGCTGTCAATTGTGTTTCGTTATTCCACGTTTTATAGTGACTGACGTTTCATGTCAAGTCCCAAGGGAATGCTGTCGAACGGGATAAAAAGTATCCTATTGCAATTTCCGGGCTCTAAACTACCTCCCTGCCAATTTTCAGCTAAATCGGTTCAGCCGTTCTTGAGTTATAAGTGGAGTCACTAACACGACTTTCTTTTATATATATAGAAGATTATTAACTAAATTAAATTATGTAATATATCTCATTTAAGTGAACATTGTATGTTCTTTATGAGGAAATAAACCTCTTTAACCACAAGTAAAGTCGCAGTCTATCATATGTATACAGGGTGACTGGTGAATTACTATCAATATTTAAGGAGCATACTCGGTACATGATTCTCATTCGAATTATGTAAAAAAAATAGGTACTTAATTTTTGACAAAATTTCCGTATAAATAAATAAAGTGCGGACACGTTCCAAGTGTTCCAAGTGTGGACGCGTACGGTGGCGTGCTGATACAACACCACGCCTTCGCGCGCGAGTGTGTGTGTGTGTGTGTACACTTAATCTGTAGGGTGTTCACACGATGCGTAATTAATTACATAACTTTTGGTTAACTTTACTTAGAAGTTTATTAATATTTATGTTATATTAATTTTTATTTTGTCATATATGATCGTCAAATATCACGTCCTCAAATATCGATAGTAATTCACCAGTCACCCTGTATATATATATTCATTATCTTCCACCAGGCTAACATAAGGGCGAAGCGCCGCGAGGAGTTCCGCGCCCAGCTCAGCGGTCAGACGACCGAAGCCGTCACCGAAGCCCCCTGGCAGGACGAGAGGCTCGCTAGCAAGCCCCCGGCGAGAACCAAACGGGCGCTTCGGTTCCACGAACCGGGGAAGTTCACTCAACTAGCTGAAAGACTCAGAATGAAGGTAGGATAGACATAATCCCTACTAATATTATAAATGCGAAAGTAACTCTGTCTGTCTGTTAAGCTTTCACGCCTAAACCACTGAACTGATTTTAATGCAATTTGGTACAGACATAGAGTTGACCTTGAGAATGAACGTAGGATAGTTTTTATCCCAGACTTTTGAAAGGTTCTCTTGGAAACGCGATATAACCGAACTCGACGCGGGCGAAGCTGTGGGCGGAAAGCTTAATAAAAATAAAATATAAATACATAATTATGTATTAGTGATTAATACAGACTTCAGTCAACATAATTATATGATTGTGTGAAGAATCTTCTTCCTTGCAATTTCCCAGCATTAGCCAGGGTCTGCCTGTATATATATATATATACATAATACTACAGGACTATAAGTCACGTCGTACGGAGTTTCCTGTAAGGTTACTCATACTACTTAGATCCATAGGTCGCTGGTTCAAACCCGGCTCGAAGAACCGTTTAAATATATAAGCACTTGTTTGTTCATACATAATGCTTCTTGAATTTATTAATTTGATATATGATTGATTGATGAGAACGCCCGGTATACTTGGTGACCGAATGAGAATTAAATTAAATTATAAGTTATCTAGATTTTATAATAGAACAAACATGATGCCTACATTTACATGATCTAGTAATTTAAACTTATATTACTACACATAAAGTTCAATATCGTTTAACCAGTAATAACCAGTATATCTGACCCAGGCCCAGTTGGAGAAGCTTCAGACAGAGATATCACAAATAGCTCGGAAGACTGGCATCTCATCCGCCACTAAACTGGCGCTACTGGCGGCCGACACACCGGAAGCACAGAGAGTACCGGATATAGAGTGGTGAGTGGAGGGGGGAGCATAGACAAGTAGACTCTATGTAGAGCCGAGTCTATGGCTGTATAAATTGTTCATGTTATTAAATATTTTGTAATAATATATAATGGTTTAAGAAAAATATTATAGCTAATCGAACTAAAAAAGAATTCCCTAATCTCAGGGTTTTTTTTTAATAAGGGTAATGGGAAACTTGTATCAAATTATTGTATTGTCATTTCTCCTTGTACAAATGCAAAGTTTTAAATTATTCAGATTTCTAGAAACATGTGGAAATTAAACTCAAAGATTCTGTTACATACATAAAACCCAAGCCAATAAGTATAATAAATATAATTTATTTGACCCAATGGAGAAGAAAAATGTTTAATATCATCACATTTATTTGATAAACCTCATAATTTTATCTATATTTTCCAGGTGGGACAGCGTGATCTTAATGACGGCCGAGGAGAGGGAGGCGCGGGGCAGGGAGGGGGCGGGGCAAGAGGGGCGGAGCCACAGCGAGCGAGTGGAGGCGTGCAACACCGGGGGAGAAGATATAGTCGACAACCTGAACGAAGACGCCATCACCAACCTGGTAGAACATCCGCAACAATTAAGACCGCCCAGTGAGTTATATACGAGTTTTTAGAACACCCTGTATATGAGACGAAACCTCTCATCATTCCATGTATTCACGGTGCGTGTGTCGGGTCCATCGTTGTAGTGAGAGGAGCTTCAACAGTGACTGGGACTTGTGACCCAGGTGTAGGTTTAATATATATAGAGAGACGAAACCTCTCATCATTCAATGTATTCACGGTGCGTGTGTCGGGTCCATCGTTGTAGTGAGAGGAGCTTCAACAGTGACTGTGACTTGTGACCCAGGTGTAGGTTTAAGGGACCCTATCTAACGTTAAACGATCACCTCCACCGTACAAGCTCCTCTCTCTACCAAATTTGAATGAACCTACTAGGACCTTCAAAGTACGTTCCAAGAATGTACTGATGTTAGTTCTGGTTACTTCTAATCTTTGTCACTCTATAACGATAGATATACTGAACCTATGATGATGAAACTCTTCAATAATGTAGATCAAACATCAGAGTAGGATATAGTCTATAATTAATACTGAAATTAATTGTCTTTAGTCAAGACGGAATTTTTGTAAGTTATATGTAACATCAATAGATGGCGCTGTATTTTATTTTCATATTTATATCAGAACACTATTATGACTATACTATGAACTATATAAGAATTAAATCCTATTTTACCTTATATGTTTTGTGGATGATGTAATGAAAGTTTGAGTATAGATATATGTATTGTAATATAATTTACAATATTTAATTGTTAAAACGATATTACAGTGCGATGTTAGAATGGCGACTCCGGGACAGAACATATAATAATGTATTAATTGACAATGTAGCATATCGAATATCGACTTGTTTCTATATGCCATTATGGACAGTGATTTTTGCTTACATTAATAAAAGATAATATGTAGGCTATTATTAAATATTGTTAATGTGATAGTATATTAATATTATATGTATGTTTTTTTCAGCCGAACCTCTCAAACCGACTTATATGCCGGTGTTTCTCACTAAGAAAGAGAGGAAGAAGCTCCGCAGACAAAGTAGGAGGGAGGCTTGGAAGGAGGAACAGGAAAAAGTGCGCTTGGGATTGGAGGCGCCTCCTGAACCTAAACTAAGGTATACACACACAAACACACACACACACACACACACACGTGATAGGATGCACAAGGACAAATAAGTGTGCTATATACTTTTGAGTTAAAAAAAAAAGAAAACGTGTACTACATAATCTGATGGAGCGGTAGTATATTAGTAGTATTATACTGTCGAAAATTAATATATATATATAAATTAACATGAAACCATAAATATGTATATACTGAAAAATTACATTAAGTATTTGAACCTGCGATAAGAATGCAGTTGCAGTCATTCTAACATTTGAACTATCGTGTCCTAACAATATATATATTTCAGGATATCCAACCTAATGCGTGCGTTAGGCACAGAAGCGGTTCAAGATCCCACGGCTATAGAGGCGCGGGTCCGCGAACAAATAGCAAGGAGACAGAAGACGCATCTGGACGCGAACAAGGCGCGCGCACTGACGAAGGATCAACGGAGAGAGAAGGTATACATACATAGATACATACATACTGTAGGAAGATATGATACCTCTAACATATGGATAAAAAATATTTAACATGAAAATATCCCTACTAATATTATAAATACAATTGAATACAATTGTACGAAAGTAACTCTGTCTGTCTGTCTGTTCCTCTTCCACGTCAAAACCACTGAACCGATGTTAATGAAATTTGGTACAGAGATAGAGTTGACCTTGAGAAAGAACATAGGATAGTTTTTATCTAACACTTTTGAAAGGTTCTCTTGGAAACGCGATATAACCGAACTCCACGCGGGCGAAGCTGCGGGCGGAAAGCTAGTGAGATATAAATACCTAATCATGTATTAGATATTAGTACTGACCTCAGTCAAAATTGTTATAGAATTGGGTAAAGAAAGATATAGTGTGTTAATATATATATGACATATACAGGATGACTGGTGAATTACTATCAATATTTAAGGAGAATACTCGGTACATGATTCTCATTCGAATTATGTAAAAAAATAGGTACTTAATTTTTGACCAAATTTCCGTATAAATAAATAAAGTGTGGACATGTTCCAAGTGTTCCAAGTGTGGACGCGTGCGGCGGCGTTCTGATACAACACCACACCGCCGCACGCGTGTGTATACCTAATCTATAGGGTGTTTACACGATGCGTAATTAATTACCTAACTTTTGGTTAACTTTATTTAGAAGTTTATTAATATTTATGTTATATTAATTTTTATTTTGTCATATATGATCGTCAAATATCACGTCCTCAAGTATCGATAGTAATTCACCAGTCACCCTGTATATATATATTTAATGAATGTTTTATAATTCCAGGTGGACAGGAAGATACGCGAGGATACTTCTATGGGGGTTCACGTGGCGGTGTACAGGTGAGAGACAAACATACACACAAACACACATTAATTAATAATAATTAATGCATTCCCAAAGAGGGTTGATGTCAGGCAGGCGGCCGGTAAAAACAATTAGCCAAAACTATTCACAACATGTAAGGCAGACCCTGGCTAAAGCTGGGAAACATGCCAGGTAGAAGAAGATAAACATACATATATGTATATGGTAGATTATATACATATAAATTGTACATATGAGTCAACTAGATGGCGCTAGAATACATTTAAAACTTATTTTAATATAAGTGATACTAACAAAATCAATCTCCGTACACTTAATATAATTTTTATATTAAATTCTAAATTTCTTTTATAATATTCCTCCTAGTATATCTTCTTCCTGGCAATTTTCCAGCTTTAATAATAATAATTTATTTCAGACCAATTACATCCATATTAAAAATACATTAAAAGCTGAGTGTTAGTAACAAAAAACTTAAAACCTAATGTTAGTAGTATAAAATTATAAAACTAATATACTAAGCACTATTAGACCTAGTATGTAGTTGCATGCAGCCAGGATTTGCCACAATATTCCTCCTAATATATAGTATTTATATATTATTGTTGTATATTTTCAGAGTGAAGGACCTGTTCGAGAGCGCGTCGGCCAAGTTCAAGGTGGAGGTGAACGCGCGCCAGCTGCACATGACGGGCGTGGTGCTGCTGCACCGGTCCTGCTGCGTGCTGGTCGTCGAGGGCGGGCCCAGACAGCAGCACAAGTACAAACGGTGAGAGGGAGATAGATATATATACACAGACAGACAGAGAAGGAGAGAGAGAGGTAGTAGAGCCTAGCTGTGGTCTAGTTACTGGAGCTCAAACATGGTCTGTCTCGACCGGGGAAGTACTACCCTCTCACTGAAGATCGGTGTGAAGTAGCCTTTAATGACTGCGTTTAGTATGATGAGTGCAAGAGACAATGCTCTATCTCTTTCACACACTTTCGTCTCCTAATACAATTAAAGTCGCATCAATAGGTGAAACAGATGCTTGCTCTTTCTCTTTCCCACATTCATACCATCAAGTTGATCTTCAATTTATATTTACAAAATCCTAGTATTAAAGTAAATTGTTGATAATTATTTCAGTTTAATGCTGCAGAGAATAAAATGGGAGGAAGAAATGGTGAAGAATGATGATGATACGGAGGGACCGAACTCATGCAACCTCGTGTGGGAGGGAGTGGCTGCGAGGAGGGCCTTCGGAGATATTAAGTTTAAGGTATTAATGAGTACAATATATTGTATGGAGATATTGATATTATAGATCAGTACATAAAGCGATTATATCCTACTAATATTATAATTGCGAAAGTTTGTGAGTGTGTGTGATATTTGTTACTTCTTCAAGCTCAATCGCTGAACCGATTTTGATAAAATTTTGTATACAGGAAGCTGATGTCCAGGAATGACATATAGGCTACTTTACATAACGGAAAATGTTCGACTTTTCCTCATATATGCGAAATACCATATTTACTTACTGTGAGGCGCAGCTAGTATATAATAAATTAAACACTTAATAATCAATAATTGTGAAAAAAATGCCTTAAAAGTTGTTAATATAGAAAATATTTCAACTTAAACTTTCTTCTGATCTACTTTCAATGCTAGTTACGCGGATTTACACTATCCCCGACGATATATTATTTAAGTATAATTGGTACAAAATAATATCACCCGCCACTCTATATAATGGTATCGCGGGTAACGACTAACAGTTTAATATTATATTTCCAGGTGATGCCGACAGAGAAGCAGGCGAGGGAGTTCTTCGCTAAGCACGGTGTTGAGCACTACTGGGACCTCGCGTACAGCGGGGCCGTGCTGGGGCCCGCTGAGGAGCCCTAGGGCTCCACACACACACTCTATGAATAATAAAATGGACTTGACACAATGTTGTTTTATTATATACTAGTTTTTGAGGATAACTTCGTCTGCGTTAATAAGAATTAGTTATGTATAGACTTGGCGAACGATTTCTTTAAAGACAGTAGATTTTGAATTTGATTAATTTATTTTTTTTTCTATGTCAATCGTATGTAAAGTATCCTATGTCCTTTCTATGTTCTAATCTATTTCTCCACCAATCTTCATCCATATCCGTACAGTCGTTAGAGTTATATACAATGTAACTAACACGACTTTTATATATAAAGATAGTTTTACTTTTACAAGTATTCATTTGTCTAAAAATGGTTTTTGGGAATCCTTTTGGAATATAAAGTAACGAAATTCAAATACTGCACTTGACGGTTGTCCATATCTGAGTTTAACCATCAATATTGAGGAACGGACTTTCACGAAGCCAACGGATTTACATTGATTTTAATTATCTTATATACAAATATTGAATGTTGGAATGCGTTCCGTTTTGATGACTATTATCAGTTGAAATACTTCGCTGTAGAAGTAAATGACGCATTTTACTCGGATGCTTCATTCTCATAAAAAGATATCGTGAACATTAATTCTTACAATTATTCTCAGCCTTCACTCCCGTTTACATGACAACGGAAAGAATGCAAGATCTTCGTCAGTCGTGATGAAAGGTCCTTCCAACGAATTTAAGGAACTGTTAGAATTTAAGTAATTGTATAGAGTTAGGATGTTGAATGACGAGCATAAATTTTGTCTAGAACTCGTATTGCAGCTTTTGAAAAATGCTTTAATATTTCGAACAGAACGTCAAAAAGCTTAACCAAAAATCGAAGAATCATCTAGTGGTGATGGAACAAAATTAAATACGCAATTATTATTAAAATAATAATAATAAAGTCTTTATAGATGCGTAGTTTATCAACACGAATTTTTGTTGGCAAACCAACCGCCTTACATTCTGATCGGTTAGCCTTCACCATCAATATTTTGCTAGAAAATGAATTTTATAAAATCTGTGCTATTACTGATTAAATGTCTAGAATGTCTTGTATTTCATGGGACGGAAAACTGAATAGGAAGTCTCTGTCGGAACCGAACTGTTTTTCTCTACGAATAGCATTTTAGCATCAGATTGGCCAAGGCAGTTGGTTTCTCGAACAGGCCTAGTTAATGGGTAGACTCAACTTTTGGTCTTTGGTTGTTTGCAGAGGGAAATCATATTGTAAGACACTGCATTCCACAGCCGACATCTCTTTGAATGAGATCTGATATTTTCGTGAGCTTGATTCATTTAAATAAAACTAATATTTTTCGGATTATACTACGCGTGCTTTATTTTTGTAAAAAAACTATATACACCTGACGTTTCGACTACTTAAAAGCATTCATATCACTACAAAATACTTGCAGATACAAAATTTCTCAAATTAAATTGATGGTTAAAACCTGTCTTAGCTGCACTACCGATTACTTGGGCTAACTAACGCGTTACATAACGACCGATACGAAAAACATAACAAACACCATTTAGACACGACTGACAGATGGAGAAGGACAATTTCATGAGGAAATATGGACTTATATTTAAATTATAAGTTTGAAATCGTCAACCCGTCTTGGGCGATTAATGCTCTAACCTTCTCCATGTATGAAGAGGCCTTGACTGAATCCACGTAATTTCTAACTGGTTCATGTCGAGTATGTATATTAAAGTAAGAAATATCAATCGGGAGTAAGTAGTTTATAATAAAAAAATCGCGTAGTAAATCCGAAAATATTAGTTTCATTTAAATGAGTACTCGCGAAAATCTTAGATCACATTAAGAAATACCAATGTGTTAAAATTTTCAAGTTTCCTCGTGCTAAATCCACGTTAAAGGGTAGCACTTGGAGTGGAAGGGAGCGAAAACTGGACAAAAAGGCTAAAAAATAATAAGTATGTTTTATTGTTAGGTAAAACTCTCTATTTATAACACACTCGGACATTTTGTATAGATTACAGTTATATTAAAGGAATTCCTTTATTATTTGAAGTTGATTAGAAATAAAATACATTTAAATTTCAGTCATTTATTTTATTACCCAAGTAAGTATGTTTTATTGTATTACCCATGTATGGGAACACATACAAACGCCACTCTCTTATGGTTCTTGGGGCATCCTATTCCGCCGAGTATCATGCCTTGATTGATTATAATCTCAGTAGTACTTGAAATATCTTCATTTTCATTATTCAAACTAGTTATTTTATTATTATAGTCATTATTACTATACATATTTACGTTTGAGTTATTTTGGTTATACGTATTCGCGTAATCGGGATAGTTATTTTTGTATTCCGGGTTATTATTTGGATAGTTATTAAAATTATATCCGGGGGAAGGATTGTTGTTAAAATTATTATTGTAATAACTATTGTACGGATTACTGTACGGGTTGGAATAATAATTGGGATAGTTATTTGCGTAGCCAGGGTTATTTAAGTTATTATTTGGATAACCGTTTGGATTATAATAATTATTGGAGTTATTATAATTATATCCGGGATAATAATTATATGGGTTATTGTAATTGGAAAAGTTATTGTTATAGTGACTATTGTATGGATTATAAGCGTTTGGGTTATTGTACGAGTTGGAATAGTAACTGGAATAGGGTTTAATTGGAAAGTTATTTGAACTGTAGTTATTTAAATTGTAGGATGAGTTATTATTTAAATCAGTGTACGCTGAGTGAGTTTGATTGTTAGTTTGTGAGTGAGTCAAATCGTACATTTTGTTGTAGATGTTGCTAAAGAAGTTACTGATACCACTTCCTAGTGATGCATGTCGTTTTATTCTCTTAGTCTTCGGGTCAATGACATTATTTGGATGAAATTTATATTCCTCTGCATTCTTTATAAAATCTTTTTCAATTTCATATGAATTCTTCTCAGATGTAGACTTTCTATCTTTCGGAAGTTCTTTCAAACTGTGCTCCAGATTTGTTTTCTTAAGAAAATTTCTTATATCAAAAATTTCATGTTCTTTTATAGCTTGAATTGGCTCCAAATCCTTATAATCTTCTTCTCCATAACTGTCGACTATTCTTCGTAACAGAACACTATCAATATCGGCGTATCTCCTCACTCTAAGATCAAAGTTTCTGTTTTTCGATGTTTTTATATTATAATTATTAGTTTTCGCGATGATATTAACCAAAGCCACTACTATGATCAGCGGCAACAACATTGTGTTAGTCACTGTGTGATGTTGTCAATGTACAGTGGTTTTTGACTTCGGATTAGACAAATTAAACTAATACAACACTCTGTGTACGGGTTTGCTTTTAAATATATGAACATATAATATATTTTATAAGAAATATATAATAAATCAATTTAAAGTATGTTTTTTGTATACTAATTTCGTTTAGACTAATATTTTTTTTAAATCTTAAAACGAACATATAAATGAACTCATTCAAAATAGGTTCGTCGTGGATTTGTACGCGGTAGAGGTGGGAGCGAGAGGTATAACAGATAAATCTCTCTACAACCTAATAAAAGACTTGGGACTGTACAGAACTAATATTAATTCATTCTCAGAACGTACTTCATAGGCAGCCCTAGTAGGTTCGTTTCAAATTTGGTAGAGAGAGGAGCTTGTACGGTGGTCAGTGTTTAACGCGTGAGATAGGGGTCCCTTAAACCTACACCTGGGTCACGAGTCATAGTCACTGTTGAAGCTCCTCTCACTACAACGATGGACCCGACACACGCACCGTGAATACATTGAATGATGAGAGGTTTCGTCTCTCTATATATATTAAACCTACACCTGGGTCACAAGTCCCAGTCACTGTTGAAGCTCCTCTCACTACAACGATGGACCCGACACACGCACCGTGAATACATTGAATGATGAGAGGTTTCGTCTCTCTATATATATTAAACCTACACCTGGGTCACAAGTCCCAGTCACTGTTGAAGCTCCTCTCACTACAACGATGGACCCGACACACGCACCGTGAATACATTGAATGATGAGAGGTTTCGTCTCTCTATATATATTAAACCTACACCTGGGTCACAAGTCCCAGTCACTGTTGAAGCTCCTCTCACTACAACGATGGACCCGACACACGCACCGCGAATACATTGAATGATGAGAGGTTTCGTCTCTCTATATATATTAAACCTACACCTGGGTCACAAGTCCCAGTCACTGTTGAAGCTCCTCTCACTACAACGATGGACCCGACACACGCACCGTGAATACATGGAATGATGAGAGGTTTCGTCTCTCTATATATATTAAACCTACACCTGGGTCACAAGTCCCAGTCACTGTTGAAGCTCCTCTCACTACAACGATGGACCCGACACACGCACCGTGAATACATTGAAATTTGAGAGGTTTCGTCTCATATAATGTATATTAGTATTTCATAGTTACAAACGGACAGATTTTGTGTACTATATATATTTATATTTATCCTGTTTACGGGAAATGAAGTGATAAGCGAAGTTAACGGTTTCATGAATAGTTATAAAATAAATACGTAATATATTATTAGTCAGTTTATGAAGAATACAGGAAATTAATGTCTGAGAATTATTATATCAATATATGTTACATAGAAATATATTAATAGCCTGATTGCTGTAAAGTCAGTAGTGTCCTAGTGGTTAAAAAGGCCCGCTTCTCATGCACGAGGGCGCGGGTTCGATCCTGGCAAGTACCAATGTGATTTTTCCGAGTCATATGTACTTTCTAGGAGTATTTAGATATCACTGATTAATGCATTCCCAAAGAGGGTTGAAGTCAGGCAGGCGGCCGGTCGTAAAAACAAATAGCCAAAACTATTCACAACATGTAAGGCAGACCCTGGTTATAGCTGGGAAATTGCCAGGTAGAAGAAGAAGTTATTAATAGCTTGAGAAGTCATTTTTAAAACGCTTATATTAGCTTAGGCTGTATGTATGTATGTAATCTTTGAGCACGATTTTCACCGGTTTCTAAACATCTGATTAACTTGAAACTTTGCACATGTCTCAAGGACCAATGATAATACAATAATTCGTTAATAATTAATTTCCCATTATCCTTGTTAGGGCCGCCAGGATTAATATATCCTTTTCATAGATCCTCTATGAGAGTGAAAGGGACAGAGCAAGTGTGCGATCTACGCATGTCCACAAAAAACTAATTGATAAATCATAGGTACTAAAAATATAAAATAAATATTAGTCACAAGCGTGTTTTTTTAGTTTTTTAAAACTAATATTCATTAAGTTTATATTAAATTTAATTTATCTTTTCTTTTATTGAGTTGTTTATCTATTCTCTATAATATAAAAGTGAATCGCAAAATGTGTTGGTAAGCGCATAACTCAACAACGCCTGGACCAATTTGGCCAATTCTTTTTTGAAAATGTTCGTTGAAGTCCAACGATGGTTCTTACGGCGAGAAAAAACCGAATAATTGCCGGAAAAACCCTAAAAACAACCCTTTTCTTTTTCACATATAAACGTTTTCTAACTAAAACGTAGAATCAATTTGAACTTTATTTCTGTTAAGTAAAGTTCATATTCAATTACAAGCACTCACTGTTATCTAAGTAATGCAGGTGTGTTCCTAACGTCAAAAAGTAAATTTGCACTTTCTTACCGCGACACAAAGTTCAAATTCTATCATATCTATCAAAACAGCGTGCGTGTGTGCGTTGAAGCACAGAATAGTTGGTGGATTTAATGTCGCCAGGTAATCAAACAAAAAACATCTTTTATCACAAAGCACTACAATGGAAATAGAACTGATTTTTTTAAATTAATAATTATGATTTACATAATTAAAATAACTGACCTTTAATGCGCGATACATAATCTGAGCTTGACGTTTGTGTGACTATATTAGTCTATGAGAAACTATTGTCTCTGTCTTAAAAGTTCAGTTATTCTTTCAAAATGTTTGCAAACAGTAAATAGATTTTTTTGTGTAGGTTTATACGAGTACATATTCAGTTTTACTATTTGTGGCCGGAGTTATAATAAACAAAATACCTGCATAATTCATTTACCATTTCTTATTGTAATTTTCACATTGGTTTCTACAAGATAATTTGTATTGTGTGTTTTTTTCTGAAGTATTTGTTCAACAAGGTAAGTCAAATTGTTATAGTGTTGAAAAGTTTTGTTAGACCATTTTGATACAATTACAAAAGAATAGGAATAGAATAATAGTATTTTTTATTTTCAGTTGAATTTTTGTTTCAAAACATGCCGGCAATTAGACGTACAAACTTAAATCGCAGAACCGGTAATGCCTCAAGTCAAAGAAATAGAAGAGCAAGTCTAACTGATGAGCAACGTGAAACGCGGAATGAAGTTAAACGGAATCGATGGAACCGAAACCAACAATATAGAAGTGTTGCTTTTAACCCCTATAGAACTGCATTTGATTATATCAGAAATGGACTACAGTACAATAAATTTTATGCCAACTTTTAAGGTCAGTGTATTCAAAATATTTACCACTATTGTTGACAATTTTCAATTGTAATGGTTTATCATTTGAAATGGCTTAAAGTACATTTGTAACTCTGTGAATTACTTTTAGTAGCCAGAAGGTGTTGTGTTAAAAAAGTTGATGGGGGAAATGGTAGTGCTCACAAAGTATTTTAAGTGTCACTTGGTGGTTTGAACAATTCACTTTACAATATGTATATGTAATACAGGAATGTTTACCTTTGCAGATTCAAGGACAAATATATCATTGAACTTATTAGTTATCACCAGTGCTGGTCAGTGACTATAAATTTTTCCAAATTAATTTCATTCACAGTGTTGTGTCCGAAACACATTTAACATATGAATATTTTAATGAAGATGATAAATCCAGTTACAGGTAAATAAAAAATTTAAGTTTTTAATGTTTATCATAGCTTTAAGTAATTTATATAATTTTATCACATAAAATGGTTTTAGGTTCAGAAACTAACAAAAAAGTTAATTCAATGAATTATTATTCATACAGGCTTATGGTTGGAGAAGTTGAGGTCAATCACATCTTAATATGTTAGCATCTCTGTCACCAATATGATGTTGATATGTAAAAGTATGAACTGAGCGATTAATGTTTTTCAGGTTGAACCAGGCAAGACTCCGTTCAGAGGAATAAGGAAATTACCTTCATTCAGATAAAAATGCAACAGATATTTCTTGATTATAGGGCGATACAAAGTTCACCGGGTCTTCTAGTTTAAGATAAAAGATGACATTGTATCTCATAAGACTTTTTTCTTAGTGTAGTCCTATCGTCTAAAAAGTATTGTCTTTTTTATGTTTAGCGCATTCTATCGGTGTTTTAATCCGTTGAATTAAATACAACTCCCATTTTTTTTTCGCCAATAATCTGATGAGATTTGTTTTTTGTTTATATCTAAAGTAATCCACATATTTAATTAACTTTTAATTGTCCGTGCCTATAAAGTATGTAATGTTTCATCAAATAAAGCTCAGCAAATAAAATTGTTTCATATCATTTATTTTGTACAGCGAAAAACTTGTCTATTTACAATTAATATTACTTAGTAACGAACATTATATTAGTGTGACGTCATCGTGGGTCCGGGCCTAGTTCTTGGTGGTGGGCGTGCTGAGCAGGCCCGGGTACCTCAGGCCCCCGGCCACCAGGTCCCGGTAGAGGGCCAGCTGGCGCGGGTCCAGGCCCGGCGCGCGGAGCAGTAGACTATAAGGTTCTATTGGGTCCGGCCGGCCCGGGGAGGCCTTGTGGGCCTCTTGTGGCGGAGTCTTCGATGACACGAACTTCCCATTAGAGGATCTCTTCTGCGGCCTCCTCGGCGGCGTGTGGGCCTTATTGACGAGCGTGATCTCCAAGTTCGAACCTACGACCGCCTTCCCGTCTATCATGGTGTAGGGCCTGTGTGTGTTTGTGTGTGTCTTACAGGTGAGGTCCAGCGGGTCCGCTACGGGCGGGGTGTGCACGCTCCGGGCCGGCCTCACTGGGGTGCCCATGAGCACGTGGGGCGGAGGCATGAAGGGGTCCTTGGGGTTCCCGTATACCGTCTTCTCCGGGCCGCAGGAACCGAAGGCTGAGGACGCCTGGATGACCTTGGGCGCGGGCGGCGCGGGTAGAGGGGGAATGAGGCTGTACATGTGGAACAGAGGCGCGGGGGGGACTAGCGGCGGCGCAGGGGGCGCCAGCAGGAGGGGGGCGGGCCAGGCGGGCACCGGCGTCACCTCCAGCCCCCGCTCCTTCAGTATATCCAGTTTGTCCATCTTATTGTTCCGCACGTCTTTCGGACTCTCCGGGTACTCGTCCAGGTCGATGATCTCCGGACTTTTAGGCTTGTAGGGAACCTGGACAGATACAATGATTAATACCGTAACATAAGAATAGCTTTGCTCGGTATTTAGGAATTACTAGTATATATTTTGTATTTTTTTTTATTTCGTTTAGACATTTTTAAGTGAACACGTTAAGAAGAAACAAAACAATTAATTTCTTAGTCTAGCCTCAAAACAAACACTCATTGACTTCCTGTTGTTTAACAACGCCATCTGCTGTTGTGTCGTTTAAACAATTATTAAAATCAATTAACAAAAAGTATTACTATTCGCCACTAGATGTCAGGGAGAGTCATATTTTATACACCTTTTTGTAATAAAAAAAAATAATAACATTTTCTAAAAATGATTCCTAGCTAGATCGAAACTCCCTATATACTAAATTTCATGAAAATCTTTGGAACCGATTTCGATTATATATAAATATATATACAAGAATTGCTCGTTTAAATATATAAGATATAATGATAGTTCATTGTTTGTATATATTACCTCTACTATATCATCGTCGTGGGCGGTGGGCGTGGGCGGATGATGGATGCCGAAGTTATTGACCACGTTGGTGACGGAGGGCGGGGACGAACTCTCCGCGGAGAGAGGGTTGGAGGCTGCGGAGAGATGAGACTTGTTAATATAAAACATAATGTAAACAGACGTACCTTTAACAAAACACTTAAAGATCACCTATTAACTTACACTACCTAATAAAAGAAAGTGTATTCTATAAACAAAGAAACAAAAAAATATATATATAGTAGTGTTGTAATCAATCTTTTTCGTGGAAAACAGAAGATGCTCATCACTCACTAACTATCTCATACACAAATGATTCTTAGTATTTTCTATACTTTTAAAAACGTTTTGTTTGTCATGGAAGTCTCAATCAGAAAACTTTACCAAACTTACTATAAAGAAATATCTTTAACTATCCAACACTTGGATTGACCTGGAAACTCTTTGATCCAGGCTATTATAACATAAACATATTCAACAATGCAGGTCAATTTTTCTTTAATAGTTTATTTTTGTCTCTTTTTGCATCAAGATCATTGCAGAACTATTAAGGAATCTTTCTTTAGCTAATCAATTATCCAGATGTTAATTACTTCTTCTACTTCTATAAGAAGTTAATGCTTAGAATCTTTTATCAATATATCCAAAAACTTTGAACCTTTGTTAATATATGAAACTTGATGGACCTAGGATAGTTCAAAGTTCTTCCAATGTATATATATATGTGTGTGTGTGTGTGTGTGTATACTCACTGGTGGGAGCGGTGGGGGGTGCTCGTGTAGTCTTCACGCGAACAGCGCGGAGAGAACTACGTGGCTTCTGAAATATAGATGATGGTTCTTATAGAATTGGACATACAAATATACTATATCGAAAACTACTATATGTTGAACCTTGAAAATTAAATCTATTATAGTGAGTTTTTTCCTATATGTCATGTTTCTATATACCTGGTCGTTGTTTGTGTGTCCGTTGGTGTATTTATCTCCTAACGAGGAGAGGCTCGTGAGACTGTCGGGAGTTGATAATTGTTGGAGGAAACGAGTGTCGGAATTACCTGGAGGATTAAGAGCTTTTATTAATATCAGATATCACTTAGTTGTCCTAATGGTTTAAAAATCCGCCTTTCATGAATGAGGCAGGTTCGATCCTGGCCTGGGCAAGTACCAATGTGATTGTTCCGAGTCATAAGTACTTAAGAGTATTTAGATACCACTGAAATGAAGGAAAATGTGAGGAAACATGGACTTAGCAAATTATAAGTTTGTAATCACCAACCCGTCTTCAACACGCGTGGTGATTAATGCTCAAACCTTCTCCATGTGAGGAGATGCCTTTCATCAGTGGTCTCTGATAGGCTGATGATGATGAAATCTCATTGATGGTAATATTAAAACTGTATATTTATTAACATAAAATAAACCTACTACCGTCATCTATCTTAAAATTTAAGGATATGTAGTGTAACTTTATATAAACAGGTTATATGTATGTATGTGTTATTGTAGGTCCGGAAGGCCTCACCTAAGTTCAATTTCTGCGCTAGTTCATTATAGAAACTGACGCCGTCTTTGTCGAGGCCCATTTTATTCTGTAGGCCCGGTTCTATCAACTTCTCGACCGGTTTCACGTATATTTTCGCCGGTTTCTCTTCTTTGGGCAGAGAGTCTAGGAACTCTCTGTTCAATTCTTCTGCAGGTTTATTGGTGATATTAAGTTCTTTAGTAATTTCTCCGGTTTCGTTGTCTAATACTAGGTTTTCCGGTGAGGGTGTGCGGAGTGTCTTGGCGGGTAGTTCCGTGTGTCCGGGGGTGTCTCGCGCGGGTGAGTCCGTCACGTCTATGGTGTCTATAGTCTTCGCGGTGTCTATGACGCCGTTCATCTTGGGATACTTCCTTCCGTTCCACCGCTCGTGGTTCTCGTATTGGAGCAGATATCTAAAATTTGAATATATTAACATGAATTATAAAGATCTGGCTGACAAAAAATTTTCGTCTAAGCTCTAAACTGATGTTCTTAAAGTTTTCTGATCATAATAGTTTAAAAACTTCTTAAGCCTGGCACTGTCTGGCAAAATTTATGAATATGTATGTGAAAAACAAACTAAATGTTACCTTTAATCGCGCGTGTGTGTATGTGTGTGTGTTTCATACCTCTCATATATCCGTCGTAGTGCGGGCGCGTTCTCCCGGTATCGTTCCCGCCACGCGCCCACGCGACACGCCGCAGAGAACCCGCCGGACGACCACACCCACGAGTACAGCGACCGGAGAGACACTGAGGACGAAGGACACTATACAGTGTTGGACACGATAGACTGTACACACACGGACACGAGGGAGACTGTACACAGGGACGTAAGAGAAAGTATACAGAGGAATTGTCAAATAATACTATTCAAAAAATTAAGTAATATTGAATTACCATTCTTATAGCTATGCGGGACCTTCACCGTTTCGTGCTTCTCCTTGAGGAACTCCTTCAGCTGTTTCATGAACTGCTCGTCCTTCTCCGACTCCTCGTCCTCGCTGATCTTCTCCGGACCGTTCCGGAGGGATATCCTGCGAGGAGTCTGGAGAAGAACAAAGAACCAGGGTTAGGAACAGAACGTTTCGGCTACTTTTCAGCAACCGTGATCACGGGCAGACGAGATGAAAAGTAGTCGAAACGTCGGGAGTATGTAGTTCGTAATCAAAAATAAAAAACGCGAAGTAAAATCCGAAAATATTAGTTTCATTTACCTTCCAGTTGCTTTACCAATTAGGTGTCGATGAATTTTTGAGTCAATAATTACTTTTTGGCACTATTTATTGGTAAAACTAAAGCTGCTGGATTAAGAGGAACATGTTCTCATCTACGACTGGATCAAACGTGATGGTGTTTCCTCTATATATGATGATTCACTCACCCTGGTCTCCACAGCGTCACTATCACTGGAGCGTGAGTCTGGCGACTGGTCGGGTGACCGGTCGCGCGACCTCGCCGCTCTCCTCCGCCTTCCCCGCGGACGACCTTTCAGTTTAGGAGCTAGGTGGTTACAGACGAACTCATGACCTTCCAGTTCAGGGTACTCGAATGTGTCCTGGAAGTGAATGGAATTGTATTTACATCACTGATGCTTATGCGCCAAGCTTTGAAATATCGTCTTTTAGGCATATAGAACCTCGCAAAATCAAAAAATTATATATTTTGAATGAATTAGTAAATTTTATGACCGTGATGCTGCGAAAATGCAAAGACGTCTATGATAACTAACAGTTTTGAGTGCAGATACCTTCTAAAGCGTGTTTCCACGTTATACCTTAGAGTACAGTACCCTAATGTTTGGTTATAGAACAGACTTAAGAAAATTGCTTGTTAGGCTAATATGGAAAATCGCAAAAATTAAGGGCTTCGTAGTTTGAGTGAATTAGTAAGTTTTATGACCATAGCATTGCAAAAAAGTCACTATGTCGATAATGAGTAACGGTTTTTAGTGCATCAGTAGTGTGTTTTCCTACCTTACAGTATAATATCCTAGTGTTTCTGGTCGGCGCGGAATATCCTCCAAGCGCGGCCACCAGCGAGTCTCTCAGCCACGCGGCCTGGATACCTTCCAGACGAGCGACCAGGGCTCTGTACCGGCAGTAGCGAGGATACGAAAACACTACCACTCCCGGCTCATCCACGTCCACCGCTGATGAGGAACGAGGTTATACATATAGAAACATGGACCCTATATGACTAAAGATGAGTTCAGATTATGAGTGGTTTGCGATGAGAACTTGGAGTAGGGACATAATTTCGATTTGACTGTAGCTATTAGTCCTAATGGCTTTGATAGCGTCTTCGGAAGTGGGTAACCCAATGGGACCTACACGTTAAATTCAGGCCTAAAGGGCCCGGAAGGGTTTAATCTTGCCAAAGGTGCCTTCAAGAGGCAGAACCTTGGCTTAAGACATCAAAGATGCTAATCATTACTGCTTGAATTAAAGGTCTTAAAATGTTCAATCTTAGAAAAACATAATATACTCACTAATGGAACTCTTCTCTCTCTCCACATCACTGAAGTCCAGTTTGGTGTGATGTAAGGGGGCGGAGTGCCGGGGCTCCGCTGGCGGCGCGCAGGCTCCTCGCCACACGGCCCGCAGCCCCCACCTCCAGCCCGCGCCGCTGCACACCCAGCTGAGGAGCTCCTCCGCCCTCAAAACTACCTTATCATTGATAGCGAGCACCTCGTCCTGGAAGACACCAACTTTATGGTCATACTAGTTCTATACCACGACTTCGTTCACTTGGACTTTGGTTTTATGTTCGAAAACAAATAATAATATATACATCAATAAAATTATATTTTGTCGTGATGGTCTACAGGTTAAAAGGTCCGCCTCTCATGCATGAGGTAGGTTCGATCCTGGCAAGTACCAATGTGATTGTTCCGAGTCATATGTACTTTATAAGAGTATTTAGACAACACTGACTGATGAAGGAAAACATCGTGAAGAAATCTCTGTGCGTTTCCGTATGTTTTTATCTTTGTGTGTCTCGTAAAAATATACCAAATTAAATATTAATTAATTCCTGTTTCATTGTAAATACAAAAACACACACACACACACACACACACACACACACACACACACACAACGTCTGTGTTTATATATGTGTGTGTGTCGTATACAGCATGAAGAAAATTTAACATATTATGTGAATGTAGTATTTTATACTTCCTACTAGAAGACCCGGCGAACTTCGTATCGCCCTATAATCAAGAAATATCTGTTAGGTGTTTTTATTTATATTTTTGGAGTTTACCTATTAAAGCCATAAATCTCTTTGTTTTGAAGTGCGACAGAATGATTGACATATTAGTTAGTTGTCAAATCTAATGTCAAAAAAACGTTTGTATCAACAACTACTAATAAATTAAAAATTAATTAAAAAAACATTGTCCAGCGGACAAAATTGTGAATCTAAACCATTCCCAGATCCCCTTGAACACACACAAAAATTTCATAAAAATCGGTCCAGTCGTTTGAGAGAAGTTCAGTGACATACACACGCACAGAATAATTATATATATATGTCTTGCAATATATTTATATATAAATATACTATTCAATAATTATTATTATTAGTGTGTGAACACGCTGTATATATACACACACATACAATTGATGGCTCGATCTATTCGGTGCAACAACCCTTGGAAGGCTGAGGACACACCGGGAGATATGTGTATAACTCACGTACCTAAATATTAATTATAAAAAGCAATTATATATATGAAATTATACAAAGTAAATATGTATATATATACATATATAACTATATTATTTCTAATAGTGATAAATATATTGAAACAACCATATTTAAAACAGTTAATTTCGCTCAAAACAAATTTCCTATAAAAAAATCAACGTGTCATTTTCATATTTTCTATATACATATATATTTATTATAATAATAATTATTTATTTATCTCGACCATATATATTTTATCTTTCCATCAATACATTAAAGACCAGTTTATTAAATATAACTCGAAACATTTTCTCATACATTTAATAAACGACTCTTAAAACAGACTTTCACTTCCAACTAACATTTCCTTTACGACTTGAATATATTTGTAGGTTTAAAACCAACAAATATATAATTTAGGTAAAATTGATATATAAAAAATATTAAAATATGACTAATAATAAGAATAATTATATATATACAGGGTGACTGGTGAATTACTATCGATATTTGAGGACGTGATATTTGACGATCATATATGACGAAATAAAAATTAATATAACATAAATATTAATAAACTTCTAAGTAAAGTTAACCAAAAGTTATGTAATTATTTTTTTTTACATAATTCGAATGAGAATCATGTACCGAGTATTCTCCTTAAATATTGATAGTAATTCACCAGTCACCCTGTATATTTAAAATCTTAATTATGTTAATTATACAATTAATTCTCATTACTAGAGCGTCCGAATATAACAATAGGGTATCAAACGTGAGAATTGAATAATTAATATTTTTATGTTAAAATAAATCAAAATAATTAATTATATAATATTAGTATGAATAATAAATAATTCCCGGTGTGCCCTCAGCCTGTACGACATAAATTCTCAATAACGCAAAATGGAGACTCGGGGGAGGGGGAGGCACAGGGACGGACTCGGGCTGACCGAATATATATATTATAATTATTATTATTATTTTATACATATATATAATTTCAATGCTTAGTTTTGATAGTTAAATAGATTTATTTTTGTCAAAAAATTTATGAATTGATGATTAAAACATATATTCTAATTTCTAGTGTAAACATAAAGAAATTAGTTTCGATATCTAAATCTCTATATACTACGTTGTTTCTTATAAACAGATAACAACACATGAAAAACGTTTTTAAATTTTAAAAATCAACGAAACTCGAAAAATAATAAAAAACAAAACCGTTTACGGGTCAATGAAATGACATTGGAGTTTTTAATAACTTTTGACGAGAATGACGCAATTAATGAGAGATATAAGACACACGAACAAACATGTATCTGTGTTTGTTTGTATGTATGTATGTTGTTTTGTTACAATTTGTATGTAACGAAATATATATAAACATGAAGATAATGGAAAATTAATTTTACTAATTCAATTAGGTACATTAGGAAATAAAATATTTAATGAAATTAATATTTTCGGATTTGCTAAGCGATTTTTTATCATCTCGTCTTAATGATCACGGTTTCTGTAAAGTAACCGAAACGTCGGGAGTATGTAGTTTATAGTCAAAAATAAAAAAATGCGTAGTAAATCAGAAAATTATGTTTCATTTAAATGAGTACTCGCGAAAATCTTAGTTCTCATGAATAAAATATTAATTAAAACAAACAATTTTATATATGTACTTATATAAATATAAAATTTTAAAATTTCGCCAAAAAAATAGGACACAATACGTCCCTGGAGAAAGCAGTGAAAGATGAGAGAGGGTCAACAGCGACTGAGACGTCTTGATATTTGAAAATAAAATAATAATTTTAATTATTTTAATATATATGTGTGTATTATCGTTCGGCTCTGAATTACTCAGAAACTAGTTTATCCTTATCACAGTGGTAATAATATAATTCAACAATAGAAAAGTCAAAGAAAATCAATAAAAAAGCTTAAATTATTTTCCTTATAATTTTTTTCGTGTTTAATATAATAATATTCCGCCATTATTATATCAGGTCTATAAAAAATAATTTTAGTTGATAAAAAAATTATTTACACAATATAAAAACAATCCCTACTAATATTATAAATGCGAAAGTAACTCTGTCTGTCTGTTACCCTTTCACGCCTAAACCGCTGAACTGATTTTAATGAAATTTGATACAGACATAGAGTTGACCTTGAGAAAGAACATAGGATAGTTTTTATCTCAGACTTTTGAAAGGTTCTGTTGGAAACGCGATATAACCGAACTCCACGCGGGCGAAGCTGCGGGCGGAAAGCTAGTATAGAAATAAAGTCAAATTATTTTGATTATAAATAAACAAACATGATGTAACAAAGATTATTATGAGTCAGTGAGTGTAGCGCGGACGGCGTACAGAAAATATTTATTTTAATTAATACAGGAAATTAACAAATAAATTAACATAAAAACACGAAATATGAGAAAAAATACGAGATTTCTAAAACACAAAAATCTCGTCAATCGACCATCTATCATCATTTCATACAATCGTAACCGGAAATGACGGAATCAAAATAAATACTAATAAATAAATAATAAATAAATCAAGATCATTTTATCGCGGTACACAACTGTTCACGAATGTTGTTCTTATGACCAAAGGGTGTAAGTGAAGTTACGTACAGGCTAATACCGACTTTAATCCATACAAAATAAGGTTTATATTTACTTGTATGAAGAATGATTTCATACAAGTAAAACTCCAACAGAACTTGAACCGTATTCCCAAAGAAATAAGGTCGTTTTCTTCATTGATATTTGTATAACTTATTAATGCTGGCTTATATAGAATTTGAAGATTAGGAAACAGTTTTTTTTTCTTTATATTTTTTTCCACCGACGTCCCGTAACACAACACGTTTGTTCCGGTTCTGTTTTCGAAATTCGAATTTTAAATATTTGATATTGGATAATATTAAATATTATTAATATTAAATATTTGTTAATATTTAAATAGAACTATAGTGTGATGGGATAGTGTTGATACTTGGAACGATTTATGAAAATTTATTTATTAGAAGTACGTCAATTGACTTAAATATTATATATAGTTATTAAACGATTTGACTTACTTTTGTTTTGTATGACGATTCACAAACATTGATTGTGCGGCTTCGAGATTAATAACAATACTTATACTATATATACGATTGAAATTTCGGCATTATATACACAGACAGACATATTTTTAATATATATATTCCTATATTCTCGTATCACTATAAAAACCATTTGAATTTATTCATAATACGACCTTCTGTTTTTATCTCAACAATTATTTTTATGCTAATACAGAAGTTAAATTTATTTTTAATTAAAATTAGCTTGTTTTGTTCCCGACTGAAGTTAATACGTCACAATATATATATACAGGGTGACTGGTGAATTACTATCGATACTTGAGGACGTGATATTTGACGATCATATATGACAAAATAAAAATTAATATAACATAAATATTAATAAACTTCTAAGTGAAGTTAACCAAAAGTTATGTAATTAATTACGCATCGTGTGAACACCCTACAGATTAGGTATACACACACACACACACGCGTGCGGCGGCGTGGTGTTGTATCAGCACGCCGCCGCACGCGTCCACACTTAGAACGTGTCAACACTTTATTTATTTATACGGAAATTTGGTCAAAAATTAAGTACCTATTTTTTTTACATAATTCGAATGAGAATCATGTACCGAGTATTCTCCTTAAATATTGATAGTAATTCACCAGTCACCCTGTATATTAAGTCAAACACATTACCCTACTCCGCGCGGTCGGTTAAGCCTCACCAAACAAACATTATGTCACATTTATGTTTATCGATTGTGTTTTAACTAATAATAGAATTGGAGCTTGGAGCGACACACGGACGGAGAGACGAATATATATATATACATATAATAAAACTATTTTATATATGTATATATTACATTATTAACATATTAAAAGATAAGTCTTATATTTTTATCAACTCTAGATAAGAAATAAAAACGTTTCAATTCCTCGAATAAGAAATATTTATTGTTTACATTAATTAAATTTATAATTAAGAATTAATTTTAATGAAACTCAAAGGAAACAATGTAACTAACGGATATACGGCGGTTGTGAGGTTTTGTAATAAACAGGTTCACCTTACAAATATATATATATAAAAATAAAAGTCAGTGGTGGCTCAGTGGTTAAAGGGCCCGCCTCTCGTTGCCGAGGGCGCGGGTTCGATCCTGGCCCGGGCAATGTGATTTTTCCGAATCATATGTACTTTCTAAGAATATTTAGACATCACTGATTAATGTTGATTCCCAAAGAGGGTTGATGTCAGGCAGGCGGCCGGTCGTAAAAACAATTAGACAAAACTATTCACAACATGTTAGGCAGACCCTGGCTATAGCTGGGAAAAATTGCCAGGTAGAAGAAGAAGATATAAGAAAATAAAACATAGTTATAAGAGTTTTATATATGGGCAAAACACACACACAGACACACACACACACACACACATATACATATATATCTATATTATTAATAAAATATGTTTATATATATATATAAAGTATCAAGTGGTGTCGGTCGCTCTATAAGGTCGGATTCCGTCGCGCGTCGCTTACGAAACGCTAGCACGCTCCACGAGCAGAGAGACGCTCGTGAACATTTCTAATTTAAAAATTAATGTTTACCATTATACAGGGTGACTGGTGACTTACTATCGATACTTGAGGACGTGATATTTGACGATCATATATGACAAAATAAAAATTAATATAACATAAATATTAATAAACTACTAAGTAAAGTTAACCAAAAGTTATGTAAGTTACGTATAAAGATATTATGAACATACACATACAATACATATTTAAGTTATATCCTTCTTTAATATAACTGTTTTATATTAAAATTAAATATTTTATTAAAATGATAAATTAATTATTTTTTATTATATACTAGGAATGTTCACGAGCGTCGTTATACTCGCGGGCCGTGCTAAGTAAAGCAAGCAAACGAAGCAGACCCGAGGGCACAGGGCTGGCACAAATAAACTTAAATAATAATATAATATAGAGAAATAAAAAATATTATTTAATATTATCATATATACATATATAGAAATATATAATAAAAAACGACTTTTTTAAAATTCTCTTACATAAAAAAATATTTTAAATATATAATATATTTTTTTAAAATAACTCAATATAAATAAAGATAATTTAAAATGAAATAAATATCAAAAAAAAATAATAATAATAATAATAAATTAATATTATAACAACAATCGCCAGCCCTGATCACTATCCAAGTATGCGCCGATATTTTTTTCATTGAGAACAGGAAACCGTGGAGCGGTTTGAAGATACATTTAATAAATAATACAATAATCATATATATAAAATATAAATTAACATAAATTAATAACAAAGAATTATACTATATTATAATAATAAATATATTTAATACTTATATTTTTTTAAATAATCTTAATATTATATATGTACAAATATTTTTTTATATCCACTAGCGACTCCATGCACGTCGTATATCTTCCGTCTCCCTCGCACCTCCCCCGAAAGGTTTAAAGCGTGTACTTATATGTACGAATGTATATTATACAAATTAAATTATACATATATGTATAAAATAAAATTACTAATTGTAATAGATTATATATTTATATGATTTTTAAGGTATATATATATATATACATACTTATTATTTTCTAATCTTAGTATCATTTATTGGATATAAAGACCTCTATATGTAAAATAATATACATATATATAATTTTTTTTAATATATTTTCGTATATTTTTTGTTATAAACATCGAATAGTCTCCGTTGGTATTACTTTCCTATTGTGGAGTGATATTTATATGACTGAGCGGAACAAAATTGCAACTCGCAATTATTATTTTTTTATTTAATTTGAAAATCAATTATGTAGCAAAATATTTATTTACTAATATTGTTAATATTTCTATGCATTATATATCAAATTAAATACTATTTTAAAATCATATTATTTAGTCCTAGTTATAGCAAATATATTAAAAATATTTTTTAAATATAATAATTAAAATAATATTTTTTGTGAGTTGCAATCGCATTCTACTCAGCCAGTGAGCAACCTTTAATATACGCACACAGAGACACAGCGAAATTTATGCTCATATACTAAGAGCGATAACCTTCCATACGACTATGAGATCTAATACAAGGAGATAAGACTGAAAATCATTTGGAGGGAAAAATTTATTTGAGTCCGTTCGAAATTCAAAATTACTGCAGGTCGAGCGTGAGTCGAATCTCTAAATACAGATATGGGAATTAGAATCTTAATGCGTGGAATATACGGTTCAAATTAATATGACAATTATGTTATAATTAGATATGCTCACAGACCCCCCTACCACGACACGAGAACGATACACTAGCGATAAATATTAAATATTATTATCAACCTTAATACAATATGATAAGGTTCAGTTTTAATTGTACCATAGAGAGTGATGTAACGGTTTTTTTAAACTTTTAATAATCTAGGTTTAGAAATTTCGAGAATTCACAATAGATTTTTATTGAAGTGAAATTATTGTACACTGAGGCTGAATGATTCAAACCTTGGCCTTATAGCTTGTTTTAATAAAAAAAATAACTTACTATATATAATAATAATTAATAATATGTATATACATATATATGTATATATGTTACATGTAGTTATTATCCTCATAGTAAAATCGATTCCAAGTTATATTGTGAATCGGTTAAATAAATTAAAACTCCATTAAATTATAATTGAAATGTATTTTCAAACAGCGAGATTACTATCGATTCTAAAATGGCGCCAGGCTCGTTTACAGCACACGACACGATCTTACGACTTATCGCTCACTAAAACTTTAATATACACTCACATAGAAAATACTTAATAAATATATACATATATATAAAAATTATGAATTATTACTATTATTTATTTCTATTTTTATTACTTTTTATGTATATATAAGTGTATTTATTATATATTACGTGTTTATACTATACGACACGACATGTCGTGAGGTCGTGGTCGTCTTCGCGTCTGTAATCCGTGGACATTGCCAGCCCTGTGCTGTCAAATAATTGTTGGACTCTGGATGTGTGGAGACGTGTTGATTGTAAAAAAAATTATATATATATATATATATATATATATATATATATATATATATATATATATATAATAAAAATATAAAATTTATCTACATATGTATATATTATATGTTAGAAATAAATTAAAATAAAACTAATATATACGGAATACTTTTTTCCTGTTTCACGTACAAGTACTAGTGTCATCGACCTCTACGTTATCAGTGAATATATACATATATAACATTTACTGTTAGCTATTTAATTCGACTATTTACTATATGACGAATTCGAAATGACGTCATTAATATTACATAAATGAAATAATTAACTAAAATTTAGTAATTATTTAATTTTTAATGTAATAATGGTAATTATTTATGTAAATAAAGTAATTTTAAATCCATTTCTCGTGTGTTATAAACAGTTAGGTTAGTGCGGCGTCTTATCGCACGTTACAAGTATTTCAATGTATTCGACTTAAAATTATCGTTGAATTGAAAAGCGAAAGATATCAGCGTAGTTATATATACATATAAATACATATATACCTATATATATATTCATATAATATTTTAGATCCGACTATATAATCTACATAGAAGAATAATGATAATTAAGTTTAATGCAATATAAAATACTATAGATATACAAGCTAGTTGAAATATCTATAAATATATAAGGAATAATATTATTTAAAAAAATATCGAATGAAAATAATATTAATGTAGCTTATTTGTGTACAAAAAACACGGTTATCTTATCAGCTCGGCCGCTTACGGTCGCTTAGTACGAGTCAGCATCGGAATACTCGAGACTGGTAGTTTAAAATTTAATAATATAATTTAGTAAAATACTGAGAAACTATTGGTTTATTATATGATACCCAGAGAACGCAAACATAATTTATTTATGCTTCTATCAATAGTACCTTACTTCTAGTCTCATCGTCACACTACATACGTCGCGTTTCGCATTAAAAAACGGTCAACTATCAGTATATAGTGAGTGAGGACTCGTACTAAGCACACAACGAGTGTACGTTAAACGCGCGACTGTAAGTTACTACGTTATCAATTATTTACAGAGCAAGCTAGCGATAAGATAACGAATATAGAAAGGGACAATGAGGTCTATAATTATTTACTTAAACATTAAATAGTACATATATTTGTATATATATCAAATTTAATTTATTTCCGCTTCATATTAAAAAAAAAATTAATTTTTATTATGACGTCAATCTTTATCAAAAATAATTATTTTTATATATATATGTCGACTCCACGCCACGCTCTGTCCGTCGTTGGAGCGCATCGCGGACTTATTGTGAAGGAATGAACAGTTTTGATACTTCAATAATTATTATTAATAGTTAATAAAAATTAAATTATTTGCAAATTTAATATAAAAATAACGAGTAAAGACAGTATATATGTGTATGTATAATTTATATATTTCGTAACCGATTAAGTGATTGTCATTTAATTTTAATTTAAAGTAATTATAAGAATATTTCAATATAAAAGTAATTAATTGTTGAGCATTAGCGTAATTAACTTTAGATAAGATATCGGAATTATACAATGTACATTCCTTGTTAGTACATACAGGCTTTTCGCGACGGGTTTGTTCGTTCTATAATTATATTATTAAATATTTTTCATATATATGTTGCGAGTATCAAAATTTAATGGCCGCTCTATAGAATCCCATAATGTACTACAATTACTTGAAACGTCTCTTATTCAATATTCGACCTTACCACTTGGTAATAAGATACAATACAGAACGAGTCTTCACAGTCGGAGATAGGAGCTGGCGCAAGTATGGAATAAATAACTTTAATTTATTGTCAATAAAAATATTTTTTATAATATTATAAATGTTATAAATTATATGAAATTTATTATTTTTATTGTCTAAACGTATGTACGTTAAGGAAAAATTAACAAATGTATGGAAATTTTAAAATTGTGGAATCATATATATATCAATACATTACAGTTATACATATATACACAATATTATTTTATTAATTTATTACAAAAAATATATACGAATAATAATAATTAAACGTTAGAACGTATATAAATAATGAAAAGCGTTTCTCCTTTCACTTGGACCACCCTCCGTAATTTCATCCATGAAATAGTTGGCGTTACCAAATAGGGATTAGAGCGAGACGGCGCTCCACGTGCGAGAGGGACGGATGTATATGATGTTCGTAGAAACAGATTTTTGAGGTTTACATAGAATGAGTGTTTTTTTCATTGGACTCGGCGCGTTGTTCGATTTTCAAAATTATTATTATTTTTTTTAATATATATTTTTTTAGTTTCGCGTTTCGTCTCGTTGTCGGCCAGGTTTAATTTTTTTTTTTTGAATTCGTAATTCGAATTTCGAACGAAGGATTAATATTGATACTGAGGTAACGTCAGCAGATAATGATAGTACATGATTATAGTCGCTCAATTGATTTGTATAAATTAAATTATTTAATTTTTTAGTTTAATGATGTTAGTTGTTGTTATGACTTTATTAAGATTATTTCGTTTTCTCTTTGTAAGTCCTTGAGCTCACGTGTCGCTAGTATGAAATATCGTTGCATTTATTACTTCTGAAAGCGATGTCGTCAAAAAATTACTTTTACGATTTCGTCGTTTTCAATCTTTTAGTTTGAAATAATTCAAATTATAGGCTTTTATAAATAACAATACTTTTTTATCGCTTTTTAATTTTCTACTAATCATTGTTTTATTGGTTTGAACAATGATAGTGTATCTGAATAACCGATAAAATAAATATTTTAAATTGGTTGAACGCAGCCGGGGCAAGCTGTTGATAAATTATGCCATTCTCTTCTATAACGAGGACTTTCGTCAAATTTCGTCGCTGTTGAAGTAACAGTATTTAGTAACAGACAGACAGACATACATAGAAACTATCGCAAGTTATTTTCAATGTCATTTTACGAACAGCTAAGAAAACATGATCGCAGCCGCTCCATTGTTATGTAATTTGATTCATCAATGAATTATTCTTTGTTTTAATGTGTTTATTTATTTTATTATAGTGATTTTTATATTGTTATAAAATATATTACAATAGACGGGAATTGTACTTAGTGCATTTAATTAAACATCCCGAAGTAAGAGTGAAAGTTTTATTTTTTTAATTATGGTGTAGATTTAAAATATAATTCGATAAAATATTTCGATAATTTAAAAAATATCTATATCAATACTCATATGGTTATAGTAGAGTTAGTCATTAGTAATTTTCCTTTTCTTCTAATCCTCACCTCTCTGCATTTTATTAAACATCCCGAAGTAAAAGTGAAAGTTTTATTTTATAAATTATGCTGTACTTTGATTAGAAATATCAATTTGATCAAATATTTCGATAAATAAATCCATTTACTCATATGTTTATAGTAAACTTAATCATTATTAATTTTCCTATCCTCACCTCTCCGTGCGCGTTCCTGCCGTCGGGCGTGTTCTCCGGGAGGAAGTACAGCCTCAGGGAGACCAGCGTCTGGTCCGACACGCGGTCCGTCCACAACAACTGGAGCTCGCCTGGACAGGAGTTAGTGTCTTTTACTTTTAATCATCAAACGTATACCTATTCTTATCAAATTAGATATAAATGAAGTAACAATTACATAATGAGATCTAATATTATCGCGACTCGCGAGGTTTATTCATTTAAATAATACAATTATATTCTTTATATTGGACATTAGATTAAAATTAATTTTGCTGAATTTTTCTTTTGTATAAATTCATACAAATAAAGTTTTTGTCATAAATTAAGTTTATTCGTATGTTTTATTAAGTCTATATAATATATGCTATATGTTTGTGTACCTATGGAGACCAGTTCCGAGTCCTGCCAGATCCTGACGAAGAAGAAGTCCCCGATAGCGACGATCCTGTCCCGGGGACCCGACAGGCGGAGCGCCTTGTAGAAGGTGTACTGGCCGTGGTGACCGCACGGAGCACCCACCAGCTGAGGAAACACCGACAGGATTAAAACATCTACAGGCTTTGAAATATCAATTAAAATATACAACCATTGGGTCAGAACAGGCCCTATTCTATTCTCCTTATAAATTATGAGTATTTATTTCCATATAGTTGCTTCATAATTATTTTAGCTTATATTATTCACCCCATATTTTATTAAACCTATTTATTTCGGTTCTGTGTGAACCTCTTCGTGCGATGTATTCTATATTGACCGATCCGAACATTCCGCGATAGATAAAGAAAGATAACAGATGACTTGTGTCATGTTTGTATTTATACATACACTGATATTAAACAATTCATTATTAATATTATTACGCTCGGTTTAATTATAACTCTTGTTCGATTCAATTAAATAAATTATATGTAAAATTTATCCGAATCGGTCCAGCCGTTGTAACAAAAATATATATATTACAGTTATATTTACGAATTATTGGAAGATATCAAGATATTTATTTAAAATTAAAGAAAGAAAAGAAAATTATTAAAAAAAACGTATTTTTTGTCAAAAAAATTGAACAATCGTAAGAATAAACGAAAGTTGTGATTACAAGTTTGAAGATTTCCTCGAAATAAATCTTAACCAGTTAGTAATTTAGAATGTAAAAAAAAATATTATTTACATATAAAACAAAAAATACTTAAAAATAATTTATACCATATTAATTAAAATAATAAGAAAAAATACAAAAACGATAATAAACTTTTATTCAACTTACTCTATATTTTTGCAATACCGTAATTTGGGTCGCGTAGATAACAAATTTAGAAATCGGTACAAGATAAAGTTAAACTTAACAAGTATAATATAATTATTATTCTTAAATCTTTGAAAACAAAAAACAAGAATGCATTAAAAAATTATGACAAAGAAACACCAACACCGGATGTAGACATTCAAATACGGACAGACAGACACATATAATATATATACTAATAATTATTATTATTTAAATATATACATACATATATATAAAAAAAATATAATGTTATTTTTACTTAATCTAAAATATATATATTTGTATAAAATTTTAAATTAATTAAATAATATAAATATATATTTACTAGTAAAGAAATATTTATTTTAATTTATATAAATATTAAGTAAATTAAAATTAATATATTAAATTTATTATGCTGACGGTACGCGACATGAATCAATATAATAAAATGGAAGTGCGAGCGAGACAGATATATGATGGATAATTAAAATATAAATATATACAATTATAGCTACATATATAACATATATATATGTATATATACATATATATGTCACAATAATAAGTAATAATTAAAAAGAATTAATATCTTTAATAGTCAGCCATTTTGTTTTCGTCAAAATAGTTCTCTAAAGCATTGCTTTTGTATTTAAAAGTTGTAAAATTATTCAAAAAATTACTCAATCCAATACGTGGACCTTATCTCGATGTAATAGAGTCGGTTTTAGTTCGCTCCTTCTAACACTATATCTATCTCTCTCCCACTCGTGCGCTTCTCATACTCCGTCTCCCTCACGTAAATCACGAAATCCACAGGGTTGAGATTATAATATTATAATTTTATTTAATAATTATTTAAAGTTATAAAAATTTATATTCATATAAATGGAAATTATAAAAAATAAGTTATTACGTACTTTGAAAATATCACTTTGTTATGGAAAAAATAATTCCGTCTGTTCGTGAAGAGAAATAAATATTGAAAACGTCAAAATAATATAGATATATTAAAAATTCTTAAAAGTATATATTATAAATTGAACAAAATATAATTCGAATAAATATAGTAATAATAAGCATGATTATTTAAAACCTAATATGTATAGTCATATTTATATAATAAAAATAAAATTAATATATTTTTACATGCAGCGCCAGCCCTGACCGACCCCATTACAATGTACGCCACATTAAGGGACAGATACACAGGCTCTCAAACTAACAGAAAAACAAATAATAAGAATTAAAAACAAATCAAAATAAACATTACAATAATATAAACATTATTATACAATATTCATTTTTAATATTAAAAAATAATAAATATATAAAAAGAAAATTTCTCTACAATTACATTAAAAATTTAATTAAATTAGTTATTAATATATATAATTAAAGACTCGTTATTCTAATGTCCCATTATTAGTATGATTAGATGAGATGATAACATAAAATACATATATATATAAAAATAAAATAATAAAATAATATTATGCCAAACTTTGAGAACCGCTGGAACTCATAAACTTATAGAAATATACAACGGGTACAGAACTAATGTTAAAATGAAATAAAACTTTAAACGGAATTAAAATTAAATATTAATTATATTAAAAATGATAATTAATTATACGGAACCTGAGGACTGAACCCTAAATATAAATATTTAATTATGAGGTAAAAAATATTTAAATCATTCGTGTTTACGTCAAAATGATAAAAAAATATAAAAAAAACAAATTGGCAAACAAAATACTATCGGATGCCAGACGAAAGGAACACGAGAAAATATTATATGAGGGTAGATATTTATAATTAAAAATAACTTAATATTAATAATATATATGTATTAAAACAAAGACACATCCACAGCGGCCGATTTATAAATAGAGAAGCTAATTTAGATATGTACTAGTTGCGACACATATCGATACATTACTTAAAATATATTAATGATGAATAAAACATCGATACCTCGCACGCACAGCACTAGACTACACCGGCCAGGGCTGGACTAATAACAATAATATTAATTTGTTATACAAACTTCCTTCACATATAATATATATATATATATTATATATATAATATATATGTACCTTATATGATGGTTTCTCCATTGTAACACAGGTAAGTCACATGTCACTACTCACTGTTCGATATAATGTCGAGTACGTACATCGAGTAACACGCACGACACACACACACGCGCTCGGCACGACCGGCCACGGCGGGAGTCGCGCCGCGTCTGACGGCTGACGGCCGGCCGCCCCGCGCCTCACACACACACACACGCGCACCGTGTACAGACACGAGCGGAGACACGCACACTAACACACGTGTGGACAGGGCTGGCGCGACGAATATATATATATATACATATTGAAATTTAAAATGTATACAATTTAATTTAATATAGATCTTAATACATATAGATTAATATGAAGATATATATACATATTTTATTTCTTATTTATTAAAACCGTAATAAAATATTATAAATATATTACTAGAGTGTTGTTGATAAATCGTATATAATAGTTTATTTATTGATATATAACTTATTAATACTATAATACATTAATTTAATTCATTTATAATGTATACATTGTTAATATGAAGATAATATGTGTACCAGCCCTGAGGCGGCGCCGCTAGGGCTGGTACACATTAAAAATATAATAAAGGAAATTAATATTAAATACAAAAATACTAATTTAATGAGTTTATTATGTATATAATATATATAAATATATATTAAATTTAAACATAATAAATTAAAAAAATCCGTCTAATAATGATATTTAATATTAATGTATAATTTTTTATTAATTTAAATTAATTCTTAACATATATATTTTTTCATATATTTAATTAATATATATATGTATATTTATTTATTATTTATACTCTCTCACGTATGTCCCAGGCCTTACACTACACTAGATGACTACACTACCAATAATTTTAATTCAAATAAATAAATATTTTTTTTATTAAAATAAAAATTAATAAAATAATATTTTAAAATTAAATCAATTGTATGATTCCTTTATTTATAAAAGACCTTAATTTGTTTGTTCAAAAGTAGAAAGTAATAAGTGATGAAAACAATTATTTAAAAATAAACCTTATTTTTATGAAATTAAGGTCTGAATTCAATTGTGACATTTTTTATTTTGAAATAAATCTACAAACAGAAGTCATAGAGATTTATTTGTTGTTTTTTTTTTGTTGAATAAAAATTATTTTATGAATTTTTTTATGAAAAAAACATTTTTTCTCAAATCTCACTTGAACTATGACATTTTTATTAGTCAGAGTTTCGCTGAAACCTTTTATAGTTAAAAAAACGATAAAATTTCATATGAAAATAATATAAAATATATGAATTTTCTCTTATTTTTAACAGATTTTGTAGAAAATTATATTCTTTTCATGGAGTTTATTAGACCGGTGGAGATGGTGAGGACTTATATACATATACTTTTATAATATATAGCCATATTTATTTCTTTAATTGTATTACATATGTTATATATTAAATCATTTTGTAATATAAATAACAAAATAAAATTTTAATATCAAATCTACTAATTTTAAATAAATTTTTGTATAATTTAAACTAAATACTTTATATATAATTTTTGTATATACATAATTATTATTTTTATACATCGAGTTCTCTCCATACCGCTCCTAGTCCTTCCCTCAGAAATCCGACGCGACAAAACTTTTAATTATATCCCCGTCTCACTCGCACCCGAGCGCGTGCCAAATCACTCCGTCCCGCTCACACACTAAGGGACTCAGCATACATATATATTTTTTCGGTGTTTGTTTTGTTTTTTTAAATAAATTTTAATATATTTTTAATAATTTTCTTCACTCAATGACATTCAGTAGTGACTATTATAGATTATTTTTACTTTTGTTCGAGTTTTTTTTTTATTAATTAATATAAAATAGATATATTTACTTCAATTATATAGGAGACATAATATATGTACATATAAGGAAAATGAGTTAAATGTAAATAAATTCATATACATATAATTATTATAGTATTGTTAAATTAATTAAAATATATACATATATAAATATGATGTACAAACATAATATATATAAATAATTGTATATACATATATATAAGGACAGTTACACATTATCAAATAAATTTAAAAAAAAGTAAGGTATTGCATTCTTTAAAGATTAGAAAAAACATCAAAATTAAATTCGACTCTATACGATACAGATAAAGTCGAATTTTAAATACAACAACAGCTAGAACAAAGCGTTTGTATCAAAACGTTAATAATAACTTGATCCTTATCCCCTTGTAATAAGGTTCAGGATTTAAAGCATTAATTTATTCTATATTTGATTTGAGTCCACATTGTGTTAGTGTGAGTGTAGTCATATGAAACTTGATTGTGTTCACACTAACTGTGGATGCGGCATTCCGAATATATAACATAATATAATAATTTAATAATATATAAATATATATATAATATGATTAAAAAATGTTGTTATAATAATGTAAAGTTAAATATAATTTTATAAACATATTAAATAAAAATACAAATATAATATACAATTTATTTACAATATTTTTAAGTTTTAAAAATACGTATCATATATTGTACATAGTTATAATTCAGTTGAATCTAGATTAAATTAAAAATAATAAATGCCTCATCCATTGTTCGTGATCCTGGTCGATGACGTAAATAAGCCGTTCCAAAACACTCTCATATCAATAAAGAGCTACAAACATATAGAACGGGGATGTACGAATAATATTATTATACAGAATTATACGAAAAAATATAATGAAGCATATTTAAAAGTAATATTAATTCAATATAATACTCAAACGATGCATTTATATCTATTTTCTGAATATAAATATTATATATCGCTCCATTATAGTTATTATTATTCGTTGCCGCCTCTAACTTTCAGTAGGTCTGTTCGCGTTCTATTTTTAGTCAAAATGGCGGTAAAGTTATTTTGTAATGAAATGTATTTATCTTAAACAGGAATTATTTCAATTAATATTTAATGTATATAAATTTGATATATAAGAACATACATATATACATATAAGTATATATAATATCTACAAGTATACATATACATATATCGTGGCAATACATTATAAGCTATTTTGTATAAACAATATATCGTTTAAGTTTTTCTCTATATACATATAATAACTTCTAGAAGCTTCTCTTCTCATCTTCGTATATATTTTTCTCAATAATTAATTATTTCATGACGAACCCTAAAAATAATTTCAAACAGCAAATTGGCTTCTTCAATTCACACAGAGTAATGAAACATAGATGCTGACAAATTGATTGTTATAAAATAATATTACATGATAAGGAAAATATTATTTTATATAAATAATAACGTTTTATTGTTCTTTTTAAATTTATTACAAAAAAATAAAAAATAATAAATCCTCTATTACGTATCTACTCTGTGTAGAGTCCTTGAGCCTTACGTTGTGACACACCAAGAGAAATATATATATTTTTTGATATCAAATTATTATTTTAATTAATATTTAATTCACTTTTCACACGACTCTTCGAAAACGCACTTTTTTGTCCGAAAATAGACAAACGAGAAATATTTACAACACTTGGAACGTGTCAACACTTTATTTATTTATACGGAAATTTGGTCAAAAATTAAGTATCAATTTTTTTTACATAATTCGAATGGGAATCATGTACCGAGTATTCTCCTTAAATATTGATAGTAATTCACCAGTCACCCTGTACATGTAATTATAAATAATAATAATAATTTTGTTAACTTGCTCTCAGTGTGCTGTAAGCCTGTGTGCTAATAATAATAGGTACATACCTCGCATGACTGCTAGGGATTGAGACTCGTGATCCATTTATATCGATAGAAATTAATATTATTATTAAAAAATGTTTCAAAATAAATACTTACTATAATTAATACTATACAATTTTCTAAGATTATTTAATAAATTAATTTAATTTATTTTATTAATAGACTTTATAGTTATTTCAATTTCAATTAGAGTTTTTATATTTGTACTAATACAGAAAATATCTTTTTAAATTATTATTCTTATAATATATTTTCATCGACCTCTCATAGTAATAAGTATCGATAGCTCTTCTATTCCACATCCCTAGTGACTGTATACATTTAGTTTGACAGAGTTTGGTTTCATGTTGTGTGTGTGTGTGTGTGTGTGTCAGGGTTGACAATTGAAGTTTTTTTTGTAATATTAATATTAAATTTAATATGATATATTTTAATTGAAGATTATATTACATATTGTATAGAAGAGGCACTGCTTGGTGATAATTTGCTGTATTAATATATTATTAAGACGGAAACAACGGAAATTAATAGTTTATATTACTTTAACTTTTAAAAAAATTGTAACAAGTAGTGTGATAGAATAATCGATATATATTTTCTGTGTTTAACTCTTTCGTTTGTTATATACAGGCTTAATTTACGATAAGTTTAAATCGAGATATTTAAAAGTTATTAATATAAATTTGTTTTTAGTTATATGTAAATTAAAAAATTAATAGTGAAATTATATCATATATTATTTTAATATATTTCTAATAATATATCCAGTGCGTGTCATCCCTACGCCGCACGTACTCTACACATGTGTGTGCGTTTAATTTTTTTTCATTAAACATTATTTGAACATTTTTTATTAATATTTTTTTTTAAACAAAAGTTAATTTATTTTGTGAAACATTTTATTTTGTTTTTTGAATTGAAAATAAATATATTATATGTTTTCTATATGTCTGTACGTTCGTTCTACGTAGAGTTAATATTTTCTTCATTATTAAATGATTACATTCTCAATACGATTACCGTCACACGAAAAGTTAGAAAGTATATAAGTACACTTACGAGGAACTGAGAAAATAAAAGTTATTATACTATGTATTGTACAATAATTTAATAATTAATATATATATAAAGATTCCACACAAGCCGTGTGTGTATGAGTCACGTTGTTAATATTATTATTATAAATAATTCAATATTTATTCTATATATGTATAATTAATTTGTATCTTTATGTGTTTATGATTGATTTTGTCAAAAATTTAAGTCATGTATTAGCTTCTTTAAATTCTATTCAATACTATTACTGTATAATATATTTGTATATTCGGAAATGTTTCGTGTAAGTCTCACAACAACATGAAATAAAATAGCACACACACACAGACACATAGTGCTACACACAGTGTGTGTGTGTGTGTGTGTGTGTGTTAAAGCTCGGGACACATGACGCCGGTATAATATTTTTTTATTTAAATTATTTTGTAAATATAAAAGTTTTTAAATCATCATCATCAGCCTATCAGAACCCACTGCTGTAAGGCTTCTCACATGGAGAAAGCTCAAAACTAGTTGGTTATTTCAAACTTATAATTTGATATAAGTCCAGGTTTCCTCATATTTTCCTTCATCAGTGTTGTCTAAATACTATTATAAAGTACATATGACTGAAAAATCAAATACTTATTATATATATATATAAAGTTATTTAATATCACCAAAAATCCTTTTAATATTATTTTCATGTATCGGTCGTCATGTAAGCCTGTCCGTATTAGTTCGCGCCAGCCCGGAGCGGATTGTTCAGTACAATCAATAATATTTATCGATTGTTACGAATCATAACATCATTATCTCGTATTATATACATATATTATATATAAATATACATAATATATGTTTAAATTAATACAATAGTTATATAAATCTTTAGTATTTCGATAATCTGCCCAGATCTCAACTAATAATAACAAAAAACAATGTTTTAAAATGTACTTTTATATTTTTACGTATCAAGGCCTGCATTTATAAACCTGCTGGCGCCATCTGTTATATTTTTGTGTGAGTTAATTACGTCAAACTACAATTTCTTTCGATAGATTTCGCTAGTTGTCAAATTATATATTTTAATATGTGTTATTATTATTAAGATAATTTTATTTACATTATATGAATTTATTATTTAATACCTTTATAAAATTTAATATATTTATTTATAATATTTTTCGTGTATGTTTAGATTTCTGAACATACGTCCGTAGTGTCATGGAGTAGACGCAGATTGTATTTTCGCTGAAATTATTGTTTACAATATAAATAATAAATTTATAAGAGAGGAGTCAGATCATCTTCGTCTCTGGAAGCTGCGAGAGAAACCTCATCGTGGAGCCCAACATCAACGGTGATCAATACATTTGATGTTCGCTTAAATAAATTCGCCGGATTTTTTTTTCTATATAAATAAATATTGAATTTTTATTATTTTTCCTTTCATTTCTTAGCTTATTTTCAATAATACGTGTTTATTTTCGTTAAATCCACTACGTTATTGTATTATGTAAGTATTATATATATTTCAACCAAATAATTATTTATTTTCTTTATTTATAGTTTCCTGTACAATTAATTTCAATTCGCGTTTATATTTTTTAATTACTTTACACTTAGCTCACCTACTGTTATTCGACGTAAAATTGATTAATGATATTATATATCTTACAAAAAAACAATTTTTTTATATTATTTTACTTTCCTACAAAGCCGCTTTGTTGAGCAAAATTTAGTATAGATTCTCAATTAACTATACATCATGATTTTATATTGTTATATCTGGTGTAGTGGAGCTTTGCCCTGGAGATGGCTGGAGGGGCGGAGGCGTGGCTCGGTCCCCGTCGCACGAGTCCGTCACCACAGAACTGAGTTTGTTCAGTGTGTCCTCGGCAGCTAGTGATGCTAAAGTACTAAGACTACTCGCTTGCAGGGTGAGAATAACATAATACACTTTATCAACCACATCTAGTTAAAATAAATAATTTTAATTATAAGGAGAGTCGTATTAGAAATATGTATGTTATATGGCTAGTACTTGGGAGTGTTACTACTCAATAATCTACTTCTACTTGATATTTTTTGTAATGAAATCTTTGAAGATCCCAATTAATCTCTAGATTATATTCAAATCTATACAGATCTTGGTTTTTTGATATTAAACATTGTACTAATTAATTATAAGAAATAAGTCTCACTTTATTGCTAATTATTACTATATTAATATTATTACTATTTATATAATTATAAAAAATTATTTAACAAGGATTGAAGAAAGGAGATTTTGTTAAGTTTGTCAGTTTGTCACTAAACAAACTACATTTTATTAGTTTCATATTGTGTTATGTAGAGAGAGGAGCTTATACGGTGGAGGTGAGCGTTTAACATGTTAGATAGGGTCCCTTAAACCTACACCTGGGTCACAAGTCACAGTCACTGTTGAAGCTCCTCTCACTACAACGATGGACCCGACACACGCACCGTGAATACATGGAATGATGAGAGGTTTTGTCTCTCTATATATATTAAACCTACACCTGGGTCGCAACTCCCAGTCACTGTTGAAGCTCCTCTCACTACAACGATGGACCCGACACACGCACCGTGAATACATGGAATGATGAGAGGTTTCGTCTCTCTATATATATTAAACCTACACCTGGGTCGCAACTCCCAGTCACTGTTGAAGCTCCTCTCACTACAACGATGGACCCGACACACGCACCGTGAATACATGGAATGATGAGAGGTTTCGTCTCTCTATATATATTAAACCTACACCTGGGTCGCAACTCCCAGTCACTGTTGAAGCTCCTCTCACTACAACGATGGACCCGACACACGCACCGTGAATACATGGAATGATGAGAGGTTTCGTCTCTCTATATATATTAAACCTACACCTGGGTCGCAACTCCCAGTCACTGTTGAAGCTCCTCTCACTACAACGATGGACCCGACACACGCACCGTGAATACATGGAATGATGAGAGGTTTCGTCTCTCTATATATATTAAACCTACACCTGGGTCGCAACTCCCAGTCACTGTTGAAGCTCCTCTCACTACAACGATGGACCCGACACACGCACCGTGAATACATGGAATGATGAGAGGTTTCGTCTCTCTATATATATTAAACCTACACCTGGGTCGCAACTCCCAGTCACTGTTGAAGCTCCTCTCACTACAACGATGGGCCCGACACACGCACCGTGAATACATTGAATGATGAGAGGTTTCGTCTCTCTATATATATTAAACCTACACCTGGGTCGCAACTCCCAGTCACTGTTGAAGCTCCTCTCTCTACAACGATGGACCCGACACACGCACCGTGAATACATTGAATGATGAGTTTTGTCTCATAGAAGTAGATACTATGAAATAAATGTGTATATTTTCTTACTATTTTTGTTCCAGGCGGGCCAAGGTCCCGATCCTTCTCTAAGGGTTGCCAGCCCCAATCCTGATGGAAAAGCTTTCAAGTAGGGTCATTACCACTATATACTAGCTATTAATACAACTTTGTCTGTGTTTTAAACTATTTTTAAACTTCTGTTTCATTGAAATGAGATCAGTTTATACACATTATCCATGTATACAAGAGGTTTTCAAACTTATTTTGTAGCTATTAATTATTTTTTAGTTTCCACACTTCTTCATCTACTGTTAAACCACTATAAGTTTCCTATCTAAATGATATTACAAATCATCCTAGGCTTCTATACAGATACTAGAAGACCCGGCGAACTCCGTATCGCCCTATAATCAAGAAATATCTGTTACGTTTTTTATTTATATTTTTGGAGTTTAGTTGTCATATCTAATGTCAAAAAAAACGTTTGTATCAACAACTACTAATAAATTAAAAAAACATTGTCCAGCGGACAAAATTGTGAATCTACACCATTCCCAGATCCCCTTGAACACACACAAAAAATTTCATCAAAATCGGTGCTGTCGTTTGAGAGAAGTTCGGTGACATACACACTCACAGAAGAATTATATATAAAGATAAAAGGAGGCCTTCTTGGGATAATTTTTAGAGGGTATTCAGACATTTGTACTTCATGAAAGTTATATATTTGTAGATGTGGCTCGGGCCCCTTACCTCAGTCAGACGCCAGTCGGGAGCTCCTAGCTGGCTGCGCGGCGCTGTGTGCTCAGTTAGGGCTCCGAAGGTCGTTCAGTGCGGATGACGCGGGCGCAGCCCTGGGCGGAGGCAAGCCGGTCAGGGGGTGAGTGAATTTTGATACCCAAAAAAAACTTATAATGACTTCAGAGTGGTGGAATCTGGTGTGTGTGTGTGAGAGAGAAAGAGATATAGTGTGTGTGTGTGAGTGAGAAAGAGATAATATGTGTGTGTTTATGTGAGTGAGAGAATTAGTACATGATCGCTCATATTGTAAAGGAATTGAAACATGTAATGTTGAAAAGTTCTCGAGTTTGAATCCTGCTCGTGATGGATTTTAGTCATACAATATTTTCATTGTATATTTATTTAAGATTAACCAGTGGTAAATACATCAATAAATACAAAGGTATAACATTTTTACACAACTTAAAACTAAATGCATTACCTATTAAGGTGAATACCACTTACAATGATAAAGTTGGAGATGACAAGCTTACAAATAATTAATTGTTAGTAAATTAAGGTTAAAAATGACAAGGATATTATCTTTAAAAACAAATATATGTATTTCAAACTAAAATTTTCCCGTAACTTTAATAGCTAATAACTATACATAAAATTCGTTCTTGCCAAATGCTGCATGCATCACATTCAATGCATTTCTTGATGATGAAGAAGCCTTGGACAGAATTGTCTTTGCAAAATCTTTCATGTACTATATTTAGCTCTAAATGTGTCTTATATACATATAATATATCCTGACTCCGCCTGTTTCAGCGCCACGTCAGAGCTGGGTTTATCCGCGGCGTTGGAGGCCCTCACCATGAGCGCAGCCTCACGGTCATGTAGCACATGGGTAGCAGGTACGATATATTTACATAAAATACATATATTTTTACATAAAAGCAGTCAGTACAAGTCTTATCATAATTATTTCTATTTAAGTCATTTGTAAGATTTAGACATTTAAAAGTTGTGAAATATTTCTATTTTGATATAAATAGTATTTATATCAAAATAGAAATATTAGAGTATGCGTCAACTGTTTGGAATCCACAAAATGCAAAATATGTCAACTTAATTGAAAATATACAAAACAAATTTATCAGGAGGTTCCGATATAAATTTACTTTTCCTGATTCTGCCTTTATGCCACTTGAAGAACGTAGAGAACAAAGAGACCAAATGTTTCTTTACAAAATATTAAATAATTTAATTGATTCTCCATATCTGCTCAGTAATATTTTATTTAAATGTCCTCGTTTTATCGCTCGCTCTCAGGATACTTTTTCAATACCTATTTGTAAATCTAATTATTTCAAAAATTCTTTTATTCTAAGATCTTGTAATAGTCATAATCTAATAAACACATTGATCTGTTTAAAAATAGTTTAAGTTAATTTTATAATCTTGTGAAAAATACTTACTTATTAGTAATTAATTATGTAATACTTGTATTTTATGTTACATAAAAATTAGTCCACTATCCTGTTAAAACAGTAGTGGAAACTTAACTGGCATAAGTGTTAATATGTGATTATTATATTAAGTTGTAATATATATCGGATTTATTACACATTCGTTGATTTTAAAGAGAGAGAGACGCCAGCCTCGCTGACGTTACAAATGTCACTTCTTCTAGTACGGTCCATGATATTTTAAAATGAAACTTCAATTGTTCTCAATGCTCCTATATACATATATATATATATATATATATATAATACTTGTAGTACATAAAGGGGTTAATAGTGTGTGAATAGACCACAATATCAAATAATATATTTTCCATGTTTTCAGTGGGCGGCTCACAACTCCCTTCTCCACAGCGAGCCCCGCCGGCCCCGCCCAGGGTCCACGCTGATAATAAAAAGGTAACATTAGTAGAACCGTTCTTCTACTTCTTCCTGGCAATTTCCCAGCCTTAGCCAGGGTCTGCCCAATTAGTAGAACCATTCTACAGAGTCAATATTGTTAAAGAATTCTTTAATCATAGTAATAACGCGAAGAAACATGGACTTATATCAAATTATAAGTTTGAAATCACCAACCCGTTAAGCAAGCGTGGTGATTAATGCTCAAACCTTCTCCATGTGAGAAGAAGCTCAGCGGTGGGCTCTGATAGGCTGATGATGATGATGATTATTCTCAAAGACAAATATCTGTATGAAACTAGTTAAAATCCAGACTATGTCTATGTAATTTTTAATACACTATTGTAAATATGAATTTCTTAGTAATTTCTTCATTCTGATAGGCTGATGATGATGATGATGAAGCCTATTGTTCTTAATGTTTTCCGGTTTCTTTTTTTTTTTTTTTTTTTTTATGGGAAAAGGGGGCAACTGAGCAGACGGCTTACTTGATGGTAGGTAGGTACCGTCGCCCATGGACATCCGCAACGTAGATTTGCGGATGTGTTGCCGCCCTTCATTGGGGAAAAGGAGGGGGAAAAGGTAGGAAAGGAAAGGTTGGGAAAAGGGAAAGGACAACCGGCTCTCTCACTCACCGGACGAAACGCAGCCTTTAAAGACTACTTTACGCCGATTTTCTGTGAGAGGGTGGTATTTCCCCGGTCGAGCCAGCCCATGTTCGAGCTGTAGTAAATTGACTACAGCTAGGCTCTACCACCTTAAAAAGTTAAAAAAAAAGTTTCTTTCGCCGGTTCTTCTCAGGTCAGGGTATTTTTTTCGAACCGGTGGTTGTGTCTCAAGTGACCATCAATTAGAAACTAATGCTTCTATATTGAATAAAGTTATTTTAGTTTGAAATAATATTCCTATATATATTTCCAGGTCCGCCAGAACTACATAAAGCGTCGCCTGTTAACCACATACAGAGCCCTGGAGCGCCTCTCGCAGTCAGAGTTTAATTTGGACAAGTTGGAGGTGATAACACTTCATATATATATTGTAACACATCTGAATGTGCATAATGTATGTATGTGTGTGTCAGGTGGCGGCCGGCGCCGGGGGAGTCACACTAGCTGTGCCTACCACCAGCGGTGAGTATTGATAAGTAACTGGTAAAAACATATAGTACTTATGGCCTAGTGGTTAAATACCAATGTGATTGTACCAAGTCATATGTACTTTATAAGAGTATTTAGACATCACTGATTAATGAAGGAAACTGTGAGGAAATTTGGACTTGTATCAAATTATAAGTTTGTAACACCAACCCGTGTTGAGCGAGTGTGGTGATTAATGCTCAAACCTTCTCCATGTGAGAAAGAGGCTTTTGTTCTAGGTTCTAATAGGATGATGATGTTTTTTATTTTATTTTGTTATTTCTACGTAATATTTTTATTTTTTATCTTTAAATTAGTATGTAAACTTTTTAGTCGTGCACTGTTTATGGTTAGTAAATGTCATGTACACTTGTCATTGATGTACATATCTGATGTTTTAATATAGTCATTTTAACTGTAAATGTTCAATATGTATGTTGTAAGTGTGCTTGTTGTAAATAAATAAATAAATAAATGATTTATGAACGTCATCTATTGTGACATATATATAACTAATATTATATATAGCCCCAGAAGCAGCTCAATTGGCGCTGACCGCGTCTGAGTTGGAACGGGAACGAGGCCGTCCGCTCTCCAAGTACGAAAGGAACATGATGATATTCAACTGGCTTCACACCCTGGACGACGCAGCGCCATTCTAGACCGGAGCACCCTGTACATATCAGCCCCGGTGGACGCACGACTCGGCCTCCGCCCCGGCCGCACTCGATAACTAATGTTAAAGTTCCTATTGCTCTTACAACGCGCCCTTAACGAAGAACGGCTGTAAGAAGCGAGATGTCACTCATAATAAATGTTACAACACAATGTCGTATTTCATTTCGCTTTATACACAAATTTCACTCATTAATATATATCTTAATTTTGTAAATTGTTGTACTTTTATATATAAGTACCTATGTATTTATATGTATTTATTTATAAAACATGTATTATTTTATTTATATACGTATTTATATATTATATATGTATATAATGTATTAATCGTATGTATGTATGTTATGTAAATATGTTATGTATGTGTATGTATGGTTTACTTAAAAGTGTACACCTCCGAACCCCTTTCTTGTTATTCAATGTCCTCTATCCAAAGGTTGTCTGGAAGAGATCGCTCTTTTAGCGATGAGACCGCCTTTTGTACCATGTTTTCTATTTTGTTATGTTGCTTCTTGTATTCTTTTGTTTCGGTATACAATAAAGTATATTTATCTTATCTTCTTCCTGGCAATTTCCCAGCTTTAGCCAGGGTCTGGCTTACATGTTGTGTATAGTTTTGTCTAATTGATTTTACGCCTGCCTGACATTAACCCTCTTTGGAAAATTCTCATTAATATATGTATGGCATAAAACAGCTTTCAAATAGTTTATTAACTTTACTTCGCTTCGTACAAGCCACATACATAGTGTAAAATGTTAAATTATATAAGTATATATTATATTAAGATAATAAAGAAGTGTTTGCATATATATAAATAAAAGCGTGTTTATTATTTCTTTGATTCGATCTTTTACTGATTAATAACAAAAATGATACCTTTAATATCCTTCTGCTTTATTAATACTCACATTGTTTCCACAAAAAAAAAACTTAGATTTACCAAGGAATGTATTGAGCGTTCGACTTTGAAACTAGTCAATTCGACACTATTTATCTTCCCTTTCTCAATAAAATGAAATCTCGCCTTTTAATATTTTAAACCCCAAGTGCATATAGGTACTTATAATTTTGTCGATTTAAACGTAAACAAATTACAATTTATATTGGGATATCTTTCGATTGACATTATTAATGGCGGGAAGCCAAACTCTTTCGCGCGCTAGATTGCCTAAATATTTTACCATTCAGCCAATATCAAATTAAATTGTTTTTTTTAACGATACTATTAAGACGTACTGCATTACTGAGTTAAATTATATAACTGTTTTTATAAAATAGATATTTGACTAGGTAAGTGGTTCAACTGGGTAAGTTTGAAATATTATTCAGCTTATTGTCCATATAGCATCTGAATTAGTTATTTTTTTATGACAAAGTGGGCATCCAAGCAGACGGCCTACGTGATCGAAGTAGTACCGTCACTCATAGACATACGCAACGTAGATACGTATTGCCGGATGTATTGTAGGAGAGGGAGAGGAAAGGGTGTGAAAAGAATTAAAGACTACTTCACGTCGATCTTCTATAAGAGGGTGGTACTTACGGTCGAGACAGCACATGTTCGAGCTGTAGTAACTTGACCACAGCTAGGCTCTACCACCTACAAAAGAATCTGTTAGCAAAAGATGACAGATTATCTACTAAATAAAAGACCTCCTATCTGTCTAGTAAAAGTCCCTCTTTTTTGCGACCACTGCATAGCTTTTTATGTGTAAAACCAAGTTATATTAAAAACTAAGAAAGCAACTCTGTTTGTCTGTTTGTTACGTTTTCACACTATTTTGATTTTCATGAAATTTGGTATAGAGAATGATGGAACCCTGGAGAAGTTAAACTGCACACCACATTTTTGTATCGTGATACCTACCCATCATACAAATAATCAGACAATATTTCATCCCAATCCATAAACTACACGGATAGAACCATAAACTACAGTTCAGCTTTAGTTGACAAGAAGAGACTTTAGAGAATAGAGATAGATAGAGACTTTAGGGAATAACTCACATATACACGAGAATTTCATTTCATTCAAAAGCTAGTACAAAATGGAATAAATGTACACGTTTTCTTAATCATATTACAACCTATAAATACTTTTTCTTTAGTTATTTTGCTGTCTTCCCAGGTCCAAGGTCGTGATAAATCGTACATGATGGCCAGTTTGTTAGTCAATTCCATAACATTAGTTGTTTAATGATTCTGACCAGTTTGGATATAAATAAATACTAAAATACTTCTTTAAAACGTGGATGAATTCCTTTATAACTATATTCCACAAATAGATGTTTATTTATTTGCTTCCGTCAACCGTCAAACCAGATTACAAGAAACGCTTCATTATGGTCCCTAAAACGATTGAGTCACACCAAGGAAGATAAATCTTATTCACAAATCACAGCAAAGATATTATTAGTTAGTTTTAAAACTGGTTAATTTCCCACAAGCCAGCCGGGGTCAGTTTTTGTAGAGGGTTTGTCCAAGGTCAATGCCAACCCCGAAATTAAACATCGGGTTCTGTCACAATAGGTAATTGGTGTGGTCCATCTTCCAGCTGCATTTCTTTACAAATAGTTACAAATAAATCCGGTTTTAAAAGTTCCATCTCAATAATATTATACAGGGTGACTGGTGAATTACTATCGATACTTGAGGACGTGATATTTGACGATCATATATGACAAAATAAACATTAATATAACATAAATATTAATAAACTTCTAAGTAAAGTTAACCAAAAGTTGTGTAATTAATTACGCATCGTATGAACACCCTACAGATTAGGTATACACACACAACACACACATACGCGCGCGGAGGCGTGTTGTTGTATCAGCACGCCGCCGCACGCGTCCACACTTGGAACACGTGGAACGTGTACACACTTTATTTATTTATACGGAAATTTGGTAAAAAATTAAGTACCTATTTTTTTTACATAATTTGAATGAGAATCATGTACCGAGTATGCTCCTTAAATATTGATAGTAATTCACCAGTCACCCTGTATAGTTATAAAATTGTTTATGTTTTCACTCAAAACCTGCAGTACTACAGTTACTTTAATCTACGTATCTTTATCATGATACGATCTAATTATGTACATACATATTGTATATACATTTTCCAGCAGAATTACATCTCTACTATAATAATCTATAGTAAAACTCCTTGAGGGTCAATTAAATTCGCGCCAAAAAATTAAAATTTTGTATAAAATCTTGTTACATAGACTAAAAATATTATTTAATCTTTAATTTCTCTGCAAACACAATCCTGATGAATCTTAACTCTTTGTAATGAAACTTTTTGTGATTAGAATTCATTTAAGTTTTTAAAGCGATCTCCCTTATTCTATAAGATTTGTAACTTTGAGAAAGTTTTAAACAATTATTTTATCTGTTATAGTAAATATAGCAGTTCCTCAATAATAATAAGTTATATTTATATATCTATATGAAGTCTGTTTTGTTTTAATCTCATGTATAAAATTCTCGTGTCGCGGTGTTAGACAGAGAACTCCTCCGAAACGGCTGGACCGATTTTGATGACATTTTGTGAGCATATTGAGTAGCTCTAAGAACCGGCCAACATTTTTTTCATTCCCTAAGTGGGTACGTTGTAATGTTATAAGGGTTGTTAAACCTTAACTTTTTATTTTCGGACGAAATATTTTGTTTTTATTTTTTTATAATGTAGCATTAAAAATACATACAACCCAAATTTTTATATGGCATAACAACGTTTGCCGGGTCAGCTAGAATATATAGACATATAAATCAATAATGTTTAGAATTTTAGAAATTTTAATAAGACAGAGTTGGATCCTTCAATATTACAGTAGTTTTTTATATATAGTGTACAGTCTTGTAAAATGTACTGAGTCTCATATCACTCATAAATACTGAACACATTTTTCTTTTATTGTATTTATATTACTTTTTATGTTAAACTTGTTCATTAGTCATCATATTTTTAACTCTGTTTGTCTGTTCATTTTTAAGATAGAAACATTTTAGGTGAAGTATTGGCATTAATAAAAATATTTCGAAGGGGTTTGTATAAATAAAAGATAATAGTCCAAATCATTTTTTTATTTAATTTGTAAACCTTGGTATTTTACTGAATGAAAATCACAATTGTACAATAAGTATATAGAGTGAAAAATGTTTAAACAATTCCATCAACATTTTAACTTAAACAATATTTTTTATACATTAATTAAAATTTTCAGTTACAAAAACAAAATATTTTCCATCCAAGGTTGTTAATGTGTTCACAAAATAAATTAAACAAAAAAAAAAACTTTATATTACCAAAATGCATTGTGGTATGTACATGTGGGAATGAATCGCTAAGATTCTTGATTTAGATACAAAAAAATCAAGTACCTAATGTTGTAAAAATTTTGGGTACTTTATTAATAATTTCGGTTCGTTTAAATTCAAAACTTGCTTTATTAATCATCAGTCTTAAAACTTAATGAACTTCTTCAAATGATTATCAGATACGGTGGAGAAGAATTTGTAATTTAGTTAATTGGGATCCATTCAAGTGGTGCGAGTGGTGTGACAAACCAACCGGAATCGGTGTGGGCTGATCGTTGCTGGGACCCCCGCGCTACGCTTACTTAAAAAAATATCACATTCAAGCAACATTTGTATATTATAAAGGTGGCCGGGTTAGAACTCGGTCTCCGGACACATGTAAATAGTGCCGGATGAGTGTAAAAGAATTTCGAGTGTCCCGAGACCAGTCAGAACTCGGCCTGGCTATTGTAAATGTGGAGGATGAGGGGGTAAGGGTGTATAGTGTATAAATATAACTATGTGTGCGTGGCGCGGGAAACGTTCAACGTGGACACAGCTCAGTCTTATTGCACGACTATCAAGTTGTTAAAACCTCCATACATTAATACTATGATCATATAACTATTAATTTGATCAATAAACCAGTAATGAGATCTTTGAATCGACTTCTAAGTGTTCGGTACTTCATATAAGTATTAATTTCTCATCAATAAACCAGTAATTATATCATTGAATCGACTTGTACGTGGTTGTAACTTGGTCATCATAGCTCGGAGAGTATTTAATGATGGTTGTCATATATACAACTTGATAAGCCATTATAATCAGACCCAGATCGATTCCTGTTGGTTTCTTGGTGCGCTGAGCGCTGTACTGAACCCGCGCGGGCGTGGCGCGCGGGCACTGAGGTAACCGGACTTATACTAACTTAACTAAACTGCCACAAACTAACTGTCTCTTTAGCCGAGGAATTTTGGTGAAGTGCTTGATATCGGTAGTATGATAACCAGATATCGGTAAAGTTTGGTAATCAATTTATATTTACAAATGTGTTTGTGGCAATATATTAATTAATATATGAGTTTCGGTTGCAATATTGTGGATGTAAGTTTAAATGTAGTTAGTTTTGTGTTATTCATATTGCAGCCGATACTCATTGTGTTAACGCAATATTGAAATGTAACACTTAATGCTAAGTAAAAAAAATGGTTTCAAAGATTGCCTTCATATAGTATTTCATATGGAGTCACAGACGGGGTGGGAAGTGATTGTGTATGTTAATATCTAATTCTGTTTCTGGATTGTTCTAGAGTGTTCTGCGAGTACATACGAAGACAAGCTTTAAACACCAGTATCACATTACATGCGACCCTGCAGGCCTGACTGACGTAGGTTGTGTATTACCGTACTAAGCAACAAAGTCCAGGGGTCTATTAAAGCCCCCCTTCCTGTTCATATACTGTCTGTATTTCCTCTTCAGCACCACGTGCACGTCACCCTCAACGTTTCCGTCGACTTTCTTACCTTTAGTGGAATCGAAGCCGCAGAAGCCCATAACTTTGAGCATTTCCTGTTCCTCGGGGGATTTTCCCTCCAAGTCTGCGGGGGTGACGATAGGCCGCTCGCCGAAGTTCTTCTTAGGCTTCGGGACGAAGGATGTGGACGGAGAAGCTGTTCGTGACCTGCGCCGCCGAGGAGACGGTGAGCGCCGCCTCTCCGCGGACCGCCGCCGCCGCTCGAGGGACCTTGATCTGGACCGGGTCCGCTGTCTCCGCCTCTCTCGGTCTCTGTCCCGGTCCCGGTCCCTCCGATCTCGCCTCTCCTCACGCCGCCGAGGACTCGGCGAGCGACCCATACTAACTGAAATTTTCATACAAATTTAACATAAACACTTCAATTTAAAACTATATAAATTTCAATTATTATTATATGTTTTAATAGTTACCTTAATATCAAGACAGTTTCAATTTTGTAAAAAAACATAAAATAAAACAGTAACACACAACCTAAACGATCGCCATTTTAGAAATGAGTGACGGTCTGACGGATCGGCCACTGACGGCGCTAGGAGCGGTACGCGCCTATACGTTTCATGTTACGCATACTATTTATTTTTATTTAAGTGTATTTTATATATTAAATTTTATTCTATTAGTATTGTTCTGTGATATAAAGTAAATTTTATGTTAAATTTAAATCCTGCTTGATAAATTGCTTATTTATATCATTTTGAATTCGTATCTTTTAAGTTTAGTAACAGTAGAAATTGTCTAATATATATATTTAAATACATTATATCATAATATTCGTGTCAATAAATGCAAACAGTTTAAGAAATATTTTGTAATATATAAAAAATTTACATGTATTTTCATAATATTTATGACCGCATTTTACACCTGGGAACCCTGACGACCACCACGCCACCTGGTGCTAAGAGTGAGCATCGTTTTTAACGACAGCCGACGCCAGCGACGCGGTCGCCGCGGTGCCGAATCGAAACTCCGACATCGATTTACGGAAGCAGTGTGAGCAGACGGTCCACTAACACGAACGAATATAAAATAAAGTTAATGCGTTATGTCTGTGGTGTTGGTGCATTAAGAGGAGGAGAACATTATTTTATGTGTCCGTTAGCAATATTATGCCGTGAGTGTGCTTAGTGTAAGTTAATTTACATTGCTACGCTATAGTGGAGTGATCTTGTGCCGTGACAAAATTTGAATTATCATCTCTTGGAAGCGATACCGGTGAGTAGAACTCGTATTTGACTCTTAATAGCTTATAAATCATTGTTCTTATAAGATCGTAGCGTTATATCGCCGTAACTATCACTTCAAGATCTGGGTGTGGTTTAGACGCGAGTACTGTTGAAGATCAAATTGGGTCGTTTTTTTTAGCCCGACCGCTGTATAATGACTCAAGTTATATATTTATGGACTATTCACGCTTGCCGCGATTACATAGATATTTCCGAAATCCTTCCGTCATTTCCATAATATTTTTCAAAGGTGACTATAATTAAATCAATTCTATGTTATACTTATCGTATTACGAGCACCGTGATGGTATAGAAGTGTTATTTAGTGCTATATATTGGGCGTGACATAATTTCAATTGCTTATCGTGAATGGACCTATGATGTCACCGCTAGGGCGCGGATGGCCAAGTAACCCAGCCGATTTGTGGAGTCCATAATACACTCTCCTTCTACTTTAGTATTTTTAACTTGGTCGGGTTGGAACCGTAATCTCGTACAAACGTATTGACCGTAGCGACTCATTGTTTGATCTTGTAATCAATTGCTTCATATAACATTTATCTATATTTAGTTCTTATATCAGGAATATCACGTATTTTTTGTAACTAATATTGTTGCTAGGAAATAACCGCGACTTTGTCCGCTTCTTTTAATATGTGTAGTTATAAAAGTTGTTGGTTCTCGAAACTTAAATAATCCTATATAAAATGGATTAAACAATGTTTAAGATAAGAAAAAAATGTGTGTGAAAAATATATTGACTTTGTTGTATACAATGAGATACCTCTAACTTATTATTTATATAAGTCATTAATATTTTTTTCTGATTTATTTAACCATTGTTATATATAAATGTATTTTTAATACATTTTAATTTTATTTTAAACTATAGTTAATAAAACAACATATGACAGTTTTAACAGAGTTATTTCTAAGTCAGAAACGAATCCTCTCATCATTCCATGTATTCACGGTGCGTGTGTCGGGTCCATCGTTGTAGTGAGAGGAGCTTCAACAGTGACTGGGACTTGTGACCCAGGTGTAGGTTTAATATATATAGAGAGACGAAACCTCTCATCATTCAATGTATTCACGGTGCGTGTGTCGGGTCCATCGTTGTAGTGAGAGGAGCTTCAACAGTAACTGTGACTTGTGACCCAGGTGTAGGTTTAATATATATAGAGAGACGAAACCTCTCATCATTCCATGTATTCACGGTGCGTGTGTCGGGTCCATCGTTGTAGTGAGAGGAGCTTCAACAGTAACTGTGACTTGTGACCCAGGTGTAGGTTTAATATATATAGAGAGACGAAACCTCTCATCATTCCATGTATTCACGGTGCGTGTGTCGGGTCCATCGTTGTAGTGAGAGGAGCTTCAACAGTAACTGTGACTTGTGACCCAGGTGTAGGTTTAATATATATAGAGAGACGAAACCTCTCATCATTCCATGTATTCACGGTGCGTGTGTCGGGTCCATCGTTGTAGTGAGAGGAGCTTCAACAGTAACTGTGACTTGTGACCCAGGTGTAGGTTTAATATATATAGAGAGACGAAACCTCTCATCATTCCATGTATTCACGGTGCGTGTGTCGGGTCCATCGTTGTAGTGAGAGGAGCTTCAACAGTAACTGTGACTTGTGACCCAGGTGTAGGTTTAAGGGGTCTCTATCTAACACGTGTTAAACACTTACCTCTACCGTCTAAGCTCCTCTCTCTACCAAATTTGATGCAAACCTTCTAGGGCTGTCTTAGTATTTTATTATTTCTTAGTATTAGTTGTATCAAGATTATTATAGTTTAGTAATATACACACACAAACATATATTTATTTAAATAAAGTAAAATTATTACATTCATCATCATAAAAAATGTGTTTTCCGAAAGACACAGTATTTTTTACTTATTTTGGTGACAGTCATTTATTTTTTGTGTCATGCAGATAAAGAGATTGGGTATTTGTTTGTGATAAAAAATATATTTTTTAAGTATAGTCAGAATCTTTAGTTTTTGTAACATAAATATACTCTATTAATAGGTTTTTTGGTCCAAATATTATCCATTTTAATATGCCAGGACTATAGTTACACACAATAGTACATTAGAACTCCAATTATCCGAACTCCGACTATCCGAATCGCTGATTATCCGAATCACTTTCAGAAAAATAATTGTCCAAAAAAATTCTAAGTGTGCTATTATTCTTCCCTCCGCGAAGTCAGTGTTGGCACAATGGCAAGTTAAGACCGCAAAACATCTTACATTGACGAAGATGTTTAAAAAACAATGATTTTTATTTCTAAACTTGTACATAAGTACAATTTATTTATGTTTAAAACATGTGAAAATATCATGTTTCTTTCATTTAATTCAATAAAATAGCGCAATATCAAAACGTAACTTTTTTTCTCTCCAATGGCAATTAAAAACAAAACTCCAATTATCCGAATATTTGATTATCCGAATGTGTCCCGGTCCCCATTAAATCGGATAATTGGAGTTCTACTGTAATCATAAATAAATCTGTTCAGTCTAGACTAGAATCTAGACTGATATATTTATAAGTCTAGCCAGACTTGGTTCTATCGTAACATACTTGACCCACATAGTAATATATATTATATATGTATATATTAAATGTAGGTAAGGTTTGTAAAAGTGACTCTTGCCTTATATGATATATATCTAGCATACATAATACATATATATATATATTCTTAATGTGAACTTCTCCATGGTGCAAAGTGACTTTACAGTCATGTTAAGTTGATTTGAGTGCAGTCTAACTTAGGATGGGTTGGCAACAACATATTCTAATTCCGATGTTCTTAAAATTTAATAAATTTCTTTCTTATGCTCTTCTATTGTAATAGTATATCTAGCTTAATATGAAGATTCACAATTCAGTATAGATTCTTCTATCAGCTAAAATAAAATGTATGTATGTAGGTTTGTTAAGTAATAACTTGAAAAATCAATTAATATATGATTAAATTGACACAGTCAGGGATAGTGCAAATCCTCGTAAGTAGTATAGTATAATTCCGCGTATCTACATTGGAAGCAGATCAGAAGAAAGTTTAGTTGAAATATTTTCTATATTAATGACTTTTAAGGTATTTTTTTCACAATTACTAATAAATTAGTGTTTAATATTTATATGTGAGTGTGTGTGTGTGTGTGTACATCATACCACATGACCATCTTATCTATATCAGATACAACAGCCACTTGTCTGTGCATTGTGTATGAACAACTCAGAATGAGAGTTGAAGCAAATATTCCATATATATGATTATTAGTGATTATTATAAAAAGAATTTTCATTGTTCTGTATGTAATTTAGTCTACACTCTACTTTCTTATAAACACATATATCACTATGTGTATGATACAAATTGTCTAAAATTGCTGGACTGATTTTGATTGTATCTTCTTTGGTGGTAGGTAAAGTATAAGGAGTGAGTTGGGATACTTTTTAACCGACTTCAAAGATGAGGAAATCAAAACTTCTTTTTCTCATGATCTAATGAATATGTCGATGTGGAATTAAATGAAAACTCATGATAGTGGTATGATATATATCTCATGATATGATACAAATAATGATATGTAGATAAAGCCGCAGCCAATACCAAGTATGTAATATTAGAGTGCATTAGGAATTTTCAATCAAGTACATTCTTGTATATACCACAATTTCTAAATCTACTATGTTTTTAAGGGTAGTATAAATGAAAATTTTTCATTAATATATACATATGTATATATAGGGTCAATGAAAATCATTTGTTTTTAATGTAAATTTATGTTCAGAGTCGACTTTGTCGAAAGAAATACGTAATCGGCGTATTTTTTTTATAATGAGATCTAAGATTTTCGCGAGTACTCATTTAAAATTTCATATATTTTTTTTATTTTTATGTATAAAAAGAAATCGGTTTGACTGATTTTTGATTAAAATTTATTAAAAACCATCACAGTTATATGTAAATTTTAAATATTACCTTTTTTTATAGCATTGAAAGTATTATATCGTTTTATGTACAAAAGATCGTATATTTCAACAAGCTAGTGTTGTACACATTATTATT